TGTGTTGAAAATTTATAGAATTTTAAACCGCCAAATCAATTCGCATCCATCCGCCAATCCGCTCAATCCACATCCGCCGGATTGGCGGACGGATGCGGATTGATTTTCTTCAATCCGCCAATCTGGTGGACGGATAGCGAATTGGAGGTTCCGTGGCCGCAACCGACCCCCGCCCACCCCTAATTTGAAAGCTGTTGTTTGCTTCATTTCCAACTCTTTCCTCACAGATTTTGGGCTGGGCACGTGGGTTCCTAGAATTTCCCAAACCAGTGCTCTGCTGTTTGGCTATTTCCCAAAGCTCCTACCTGCAAGGTGTGTATTCAAATCATCCACACCGACTATGAGGAAGAAAACAAATTTTGCCCCTTTGAAGAGCAGTCTTCACCGACCCACAGGTCCACGAAAAAGCCCCCAACTTGAATTTGTGGAAGTGCGCAATTGCCACTGTTGCTGTCGCCTATTACATCTTAATCCTATGGTAGTGTATCGGTTGCTGTTGAGTTGAGAAAATGTTGAGGTGTCTTCATAGGGTGTAGCAGCGAAGCGGCAGAACTCTACATTTTTCGGAAGTGCTGAAACCAAGAACAACAAGTGCACAACCAGACAACCAGGTGTGTGAAATTCCCTACTACGTTCTGCTTTCCTCTGTGTTATGTATTTTGTATTGGTGCTTTTGCGAACTGGAACTCCATTAAGTTTTGTATTTTAATGCTCTTTCGAGATGGTTGGACAATCTAGTATGTAGATAGCTGCTTCCATGCTTATTTGTCTTCTAAGATGTGCCACCATGTGGTTTCGATGTTCTTGTTTCTCTTTACTCTAATTTATGTGTAAATTATGCACACCACATGTTTGCTAATATGCATATCAAAATAGAAATAGAAAATTTGCAGTTTTTTCCCTTACTTCAAAATATATATATATATATATATAGAGAGAGAGAGATTCGCATCCATCCGCCAATCCGCTCAATCCACATCCGCCGGATTGGCGAACGAATGCGGATTGATTTTCTCCAATCCGCCAATCTGGCGGACGGATAGCAAATTGGAGGTTCCGTGGCCGCAACCGACCCGCACCCACCCCTAATTTGAAAGCCTCAAAAACAGTGGAAACTAGTTAGTGGAAAAATGAAGGGTTTGTTTGGTGTGTTTTTCATAAAAAAATTTGGGAAAATTTCTCTACAAACAAATTTTCAAGAGTAATCAAACCAAACAAATTTTTTCAAAAAAAATTTCAAAATTTTGTTTGGTTACCTACTTTCCAAAATTACTTTCTCTCTCATACACATCAAATCAATCACTTTTTTTAAAACTCTCTCCCCAAAATAATTTTCTACAACCATTTTTGAAAAAAGGCAAACCAAATAAGTTTACATACTTTTTATCTCAAAAATTATTCTACAAACACAAACTAAACACACCCTAATCTTACAGAAAAAATTAATCATCCCAAAATAAGTAACTTGATTTGTCCCTCATAGTTTTCCTTAAGGGAGGTTTCATGTTCAAACCCCTTAGTAGGGTCACGTGATTAAATTCAACAAGAAGATTATCAACATTGTTTTGTCAAAAAGTGAAGAGGCTGAATTAGGCTTCCCCACATACAGCCTGCCAAACATCACTTACATAGATTTGTCTGGTCTTTGGATACAACCCACGTATAATCAGCTCCTAGATTTTGTAAATCTTTATTAATATTGGTTTGTCTTATAACTATTAATGACACTTTTATCAGTAGTCTCCATCCAATTTGATGCTTTTGTTAGCCAACTCTATTTGACTATACTGCATTGAGCTGATCAAATCCCATGACAACATATTTTAATGTGATTGTGCATCATGTCTTGCTACTCAATCATTTTCCCAATAATCTAATAAATGGAAACCCTATTTTTTAATACGATAATGCTACGTACTTCAAATTTTGTAACTCAAAAGTGATTCAAATGGCCAAAACAACGTCGTTTTGACCATTTGAATCACTCTTGAGTCACAAAATTTAAGTTACAAAAGAAAAGCTGTACCTAAATGGTGTCATTAAACAATAACACTAGCATTCTTCAATCATTGTCACGTTTTTCTGTGGAAAGTGAGAGCCCCTGAATCTGACAAGCTCCCCTCCTCCCTTAAAGTTAGGGGTTTTTTTTAATTTCCAATCACAATAGCCTAAATTAATATTGGTTTGACGAGACTAATCATCTCTCCACCTCATTCATTTAAATGTCTCTGATTCAACAGACCATATAATAATTATTTAACATTTGTTAATGGGTTTCTTATGAAATAAGGTTGTCAACTGCATCTTCTCATGGGTTTTCAGATTTTAAGTTGAAAGTTGTGAAATGATAAAGTTTGGATAAATTCAATAACGACTTGAATCTGATTTTTTTTTTTTCTGTTTGATTTTCTTATTTTTTAGTTTGTTGATGTAATAATCATTCCTGTGTGGAGATTTGTTTCCCTCCCTTGTGGAGCCTTTTCTCCCCCCATATGGAGGTTTGGATCCTTCCTTTTATGGAGATTTTTTTCTCTTTTAAGATCTTGTGATACCACTATACCAGATTGATTTAATCTTGTATCAATTTTGTAATGAAAATTTTCTTATCGATTTTATTATAAAAAAAAATTTAAATTAAAGTAAAAAAAAAAATTCACCTTCTCATAATATTCATAAAGCTTTAAAAAATAGGCTGCATACAAAATTACAACCTGACCAAAAGAGAAGAAATTATAAACAAGAAATTACTAAAATTAAAAATTTTCATTAGTACATCGATCAGTATGAACGGAAGGAAGGGAATTTTATTATTATTATTTTTTTAACAATGAGTAGGAGGGGAATAAGGGAGGGTAATTTATATCACACAATGATAAGACTCGAATTCATGCATCACACCTGATAAGGAGCACATCTTATTCACTAAAAAATTTAGCTGAGCAAAGATATTATATAGCCCATACAAATACCTAGAAAATAACATATAATTTGAATCTATGGTGTAGTTTTGAACTTGGTGTGATATGAATTTGATCCACCACATTTCAAATTTTGAGCAATTTTTTTTTTTTTTTTTCCTGATTATGTAGCACTTTTGTTAATAGATACCACTTGTAAGTGAATGATAAATGAAAACTTTTTGAGTGGCAAAAATATTTTAGATTTTAACTAAATTTGTGGATTGTTGGTTAGTCTAAGTTTTATAGAGACTAAAATTGAGAAATCCAATCAGAAATAATCAGTAGAAACAGCTAGCAAACTCAAATGGAATCACAATCTGAAATCTAATTGATGCCTGATGGATCATCTCTCTTTATCTATATCTTTATGCATTGGTTGTAAATCCACAATGCTCAGTCTAGCGCAAATCAAGAATTTGTGTCACTATCTACAGCCTATCTTTACCCCAAATTTTATGATGTTGAGCTTTTGGAAGTTCCTGGTAGATGAATTATACTAGGTGGGAAGGTGTTCTTCATGTGAAATTGACCTTTCTACCTTGTCTGTAGGTAGAGATCAGAGGTTTGTAATAGGGACTTGACTATATTTTGGAAGATACTCAAATTCATAGAAATATTCGAGATTAGAAGAAGAAGAAGAAGAAGAAGAGCGACACGAGGAAGAAAGCAAATTCATGGAGTAACAAAGGTATTGATTTTTCTTATACTCAGGACTAAGATCAATCTCCTGAAATCATAAATGGTAAATTAGTTATTTCAATGTTGTTATAGGAGAAAGGGTGTTTAACGGAGACAAAAATTTAACAGCATAAGTACATGAAACATCAAATTCATAAAATATGATTCAACCATTGAAGGGATTAAACTTTTGAACAACATAGGTAGTATGCAAGACCTACCATAATTCAACACAAACATTATTTCAAGAAACCCTTATTTCATGCAATCTGGCAATCACACGAGTATATTATAGTATTTAGTCTAAGGTTAGGAATCAACTCAAAATGGACCGACACAAAACCTCAAATATTTTGAAATTTTCATTGAATTACCTTTTTCATTCCGTGCATTATCATGTTTTGTTGACATTGATACAGAATCACAGATTGAATCGAAATGCTGTCTATTCTAGCAAAGATCAAAATACAATGCCTCGGCCCAATTTTGGGGGCTATGGCCAGAAACAAACCTGATATACAAACAAATAAATATATTTTTCATGTTGGCATTCTCTATTTTTCTATTTATTATTTTTCAAGGTAAAAATTCTAATATTATTAGTCTTTGTTATCAAAATCTTATGATTCGTGATTCAATTCACGATTCGATTCGTAATTTTTGCAAAATCGATACGTATCTATGGGTGAATCTATTTTGGAACGATTCACAATCAATTCACGATTCGATTCACTTTTTACGATTCATGCACTTCTTCGAACTATCATGTCCAACATATTTTCAATTCTTTTTTTCTCTATCTTTTTGTAAAAATGACATAATTCAACTTCTAATAACATTTAAAGCCAAAATAACCAATATATATACATGATTTGTTATTATTTTAATAATCATGAAATTTTTTATAGGATCCAATCATATTTCTGACTCAACATATTTTTAAACTTTCTACTCTTTTTTTCTTTTAAAAAATCATAATATATCTTCTAAAATGTGTAAGATTAAAGTACCTTGCACCATGAATTATCTATTACTATTTTATTAAAGTAAATATAATTGAATATTATATGTGAGGTCAGTTATACCATTTAAAATGTTTTATGCTTTAAAATAAAAGATCCTAAATGATTCTATCTTATTATTTGGTCATTATTACTTAAAAAAGTATGTATACTTATTGTTCAAATATCAATATCATTATCAAATTATTGTTACTTTAGAAATTGAGAGTTTGTCTTTATTTATTATATTTTATTATTAAGAATGGTTGATAAGAAATATCTAAAAAATGAAAAAGGTAAAATGGTGATCTTACATAAGAATCTTTGTTAACTTATTACATATTAAACTACATGATAATCATTTAAAATAAAATTTTCATCAATTTAAGTCTAAATATTTCATATTCATAATATATATTTAACATTGAACTGTGTAGATATATGTTTCTACGTAATTTAGAAAAAATGATTGAATCTTACGATTCACGATTCGATTCGTGATTCGGTACAAGGCCATTTTAATTCACGATTCGAATCCCGATTTGACAACTATTAGTAGTATGTATGACCAAATGAATCGTCTTCAATTCCCTTGCTCAGTTGCAATCTATCTTCAGGTCTTGTGGCCATCCGAACTCCTCCAAGAATGCCAATACAACTCCATTCGACCACCCAAAGCCCGTCTACATTGCCAACAAAATCAACCAAAGCCAGTTTGAGATTTATCGCTTTTAACATGTTCCATGGTTGAATCTTAGGGATGACTATTGACTGAAAACTATAATTAATATTCGTTACCTGGGGTATGTATTCACCACCTCCTCCAAATTCTCCACATTTTTCAACATCGTATTTTTCATGCATTGCACCTGATTTCTTGTAAGCAACATAGTTGGTTCTGATCCACCTCACAGCAATGTCCTCTGCCATCGACCTCGCTTCCTTTGATCCGGACCTCGCCAAACCTTCAACAATCATGTGCTGTAGTGGTGCCCAACCATTTGGAAAGTCCCTTTATAGAAAAGATTATTGTTAGGTTACATTATTACATACAAAAGATACGATTTTCTCAACTAATTCTTCAACAGATACGATGATCTGTTCAAGGTACATTTTAAAGAGGATAATTACCATTGTTGTCCAGAATTAGTTAGAGATGTTGCAATCCCAACTGCATGAATCAGTCCTGAACTTCGAAGACTTTGCATAACTTGCTCCACCAATGTGCAATCTTCACATATTTAAAACAATATATAGGAGATTATGTGAAATAAAACCCTAAATTTATTATAATTGTCAGCACACTCAAAAGAGTTTGTAAAAGGAATCGCATCTTGGATATATAACAAGCACTACAAACCTGAGTTAAACAACTCAATCCACAGAGGAACGAAGTTTGAGGCAAATATATTCCGATTCTGGTTTGAGGCCTCCCATGTGTGACCCTGAAACAAGAAATTGATTAGGAAAAAAGGATACAACATATAATCTCTGCGAGGCATGTAGTCATAGATTTCACATGAAGACGCTACCTTGCATGTAGTTCCATTGCTAAGCCAATAATCAAACCATTGCCCCATCTCTGCATTCCAAAAAACAGAATTCATGCCTTGTTTTCTTGCTTGAGCCGCTTCTTGAAAGTGTACAGAAATGGTACAATCTCCAGTAACATTTGCTAAGAACGCTATGTCAAGTTCCATCTGAAACAACATGGAAGAGCTCATGTTATATATATATATATATTGGATTATTGAATTCAACCAAAGGTTTCTTCTGATCAAACCTTGAGTATGAATGCATTTAAATCCACAGGTATAATTGATGTTGTAGCCAATGTTGTGAGATCGTATCCATTCCTGCAAATGAAAATCACACCATCTTTATTCAATACAGAAACAAGCATGAGTGTCTAGGTCCTACACATGTTTGGGTCAAAAATGACCAAAGTGAAACACTACCTCATCCATCTTGTGCTGAAATCCCACCCACTTTCAGCGGTTGAAGCCAGTTCCCTATAAAGATGTTGTTTTGCAGAATCATTCATGAGCTTGGAAGCAGTTTCAATGTCCTGAGGGAAGGATCACATGTTTTTAAGCTAAAAACTTCAAATATTTCTCTATGAACTATTCAGATCACACCAGTTTAAATTTAAGTTTATGGGTCAGAGAGGATATACAATGGTTGAAGATTCTGGCCTTGGTTTGTTCCACATTGCATAGTATCGACTTAAAGTGCGATTGCATCCTTCAGCATCATGAATTATCACACTATGTATTTCTGAAAACAATTTAAAACCAATGAAACCAACTAACTTGCAAGGATTGCTAGAACAACCCAATTAGAGAAGATGAACAATATATAGATGTGCGAGATTAATAAAGCTCTCAATACCTGAATTCCAAAATTTGTGTTCTTTTAGCAAGGCAGGGAGAGACTTTCTAGCAAAGTCTATATCGCCGGTCCTAGTGTATATCTCATACACCATCGCACTCAGGAGTGGAGGTTGGCTGCAAAGTCCCAATAAACTTCTTGTTTAACCAAAAAAATATACAAATAAATGCAAGCAAAAACACGACACACTCACAAACCCCAACCCCCATTAACACACACATACAAAGAAAGAAAGACTGACAAGTAGACCATCAATTTGGGAGCTTGAATGCAGACTAATAAAGCCTTCAAAATTCATACTATTTAGTGGAGTGCAATGGTAACCATAGTTGTCAAATCGGGATTCGAATCATGAATCAAAATGACCTCATACCAAATTGCGAATTAAATCGAATCGTGAATAGTAAAGAATTAAATCGAATCGTGAATAGTAAAGATGTTACTTTTTCTAAATTACTTAAGAAAATATTACACACTTTGATGTCAAATATATTTTATGAATATGAAATATTTAGATTTAAATCAATGAAAACGTTGTTTTGAATGATGATCACATAGTTTAATAGGTACGAAGTTAATAATGGTTCCTATGATCACCATCTTACCTTCCCCTTTTTAGATATTTCTTATCAACCATTTTTAATAAAGATAGTAAATAAAGATAAACCCTCAATTTCTAAAGCAACAATGATTTAACAACAATATTGATATTTGGACGATAAGCATACATACTTTTCCAATTAACAATGACCAAATAATAGGAAAAAATTATTTAGGATATAAAACATTATAAAAAGTATAACTAACCTCACCCATATAATATTAAACTATATTTAATTTAATAAAACAGTAATAGATAATTCATGGTGTAAATTACTTTAATTTTAAACATCTTTAGAAGATATATTATCATTGTTTTAAGGAAAAACTGAGAAGAAAGGTTAAAAACATGTTGGGTCTGACTGAATCTGATTGGATCCTATTAAAAACTCTATGATCAGTAAAATAACAACACATCATGTATTTATATTAGTTGTTTTGGTGTAAAACGCTATTAGAAATTGTATTATGTCATTTTCACTAAAAAGATGGAGAAAAAACGAAACGAAAATATGTCGGATACAATGGTTTTAAGAATTGCATAAATCGTAAAAAGTAAATCGATTGTGAATCGTGCGATTCACGAGAGATTCACTTCCAAAATAGATTCACCTATAGATTCGTATCGATTTTGCAAAAACCGTGAATCGAATCGCAAATCGTAAGATTCTAATAACAGAGATGGTAACTATTACCCTGGTTTTTATATAATTTGAATAGGTGGTTTTGTATTGATTTCAATCCTAATAAAGGTGGATAAAATAGTTACTATTCACTGAGAACTATAAGATCCTTAAATTCATGACCACATTGGTTGCAATGTGAATAAGCTAGTGTAAATAATTTATGATCCAACGTACGTCGTTATTATTCATGATACACAAATGCAAGTTTAATGGGTTAAGCATGTTTCATAGACATGAACTGCATCATGCATTAAATCTATTTTATACCAAGAAACATTGTTGAGAAATAAGCATATGATTTTTTTTGATGGAGAGACAGCGTGGAGGTTGGCAACCGGTGATCCAAAGGAAAGGGCCAGGCAGAAAGACTGATGAAGCTAGAATGGGAGGTTTATTCACGATATTTGTGGATAATATCCCAGAGCTTATGAATTCGAAAAGGTTGTTTGGCTTGTTTTCAAAGTTTGGTGTAGTAAAGGATGTGTTTATACCAATGAAGAGGAGGAAGGCTACTGGCTCAAGATTCGGTTTTGTCAGATATGATTGTCCTGTAGCTGCTGAGGTTGCAGTACAAAAAGCTGATAGGCTATGGTGTGAGGATAAGGAGTTAAAGGTTAAAGGAGCAGAGTATGTCAAAGGGGTGAAAAGCAACAAAAAGGGGAATATAGTTAGTATTCAATCAGGGGGAAAAGTATCAGAAGCATCAGAGGGTGAGTATGATTGGAAATAGGGGCATTCAGAAGGAAGGGTTACTAAGACAACAAGGGTATGGAGGAATGATGTCATATGCGGAGGCTGTTAGAAAAAGAAGTAATCAGGGAATGGAGAATGTAATCATTTAGGCGAGGCAAGTGGGTAATGGATGGTTATATGAAAGTTTGGTGGTCAGACTCCATAACTTTTTCTCCTTTGCAGCTTTTAAGGAGTGTATAAAAAGAGGTTTGACAGAGATATTAGTTAGAGCAGGGGATGGGCAGCTGGCAATTTTGACATTAAGTCTATTCAGGAGATGAAAAACAGTATCCAGAGGCTAAATCGATGGATATTCGACTGGTGCAGTTCGATGGAGAAGTGGAAAGCATGCGATATAGTTGAACAGGAACGATGTATATGGGTAAGTTGTTATAGTGTGCCCTTGAATCTTTGGAGTGTGGATACTTTTCGAAGTATAGGTTCAGTGTGGGGAGCAGTGGTGCAGTTTGATGAAGATACAATTAACAATGTGTCATTTAATTGTGGTAAAGTTAGAATCATAACAAAGACCAAGGAACCCATTAACATGGTCGTGAAGTTGGAGTGCAGAGATGTAATTCATAACGTCAGGGTATGTGAGAACATTGATGCTTCAATGGTTATGGACTAGAATCCAAGTGAAGATTTGTACAAGTCACTGGAAAAGGAAACTTCTGTGAGGAAGGGCAAGGAAGATCGCATCTCGGAGAATGGTGGTGGTTAGATAGGGAGAGTCGGGGAGGTGAATAGGAATGATGACGTGAAAGCTGAGATGGAAATTAGAGAGGAGGTGGCAGAACAAGAAGGCGCCATGTTGCAGCACCAGATTATAAATGAAAATGGTAGTGAAAGTTTGGTGTCTGAAACGAGGGCGGCTGGCACAGATAGGGGTATGGAGAAACCAAACGGTGGAGGGAGTGAGAGGATGGAACCCGGCATGCTTTTGAGCGAATCAAGGGGAAAGGAGGTGCATAGTGGGGTAGCCGTTGATGATCATGTAGTTACCCATGGGTTTGTAAAAAGTATTAATGGGTCTGAGGAATGTAGGCCCAGTATTAATATTGAGGTTCCATTAGTGGGAGCCCATCGAGAGGAATCTGTTAGTGGGCATGGGAATCCAGATAGTGCCCAAGTCTGTGTGGGTCTGTCTCAGTACCAGAATGTTTTAATTAGCTCACAAGCCAAGGTCAAAGAGAAAGGCCACTGCCCAGCTGTTGGTTGCCTTTCTCAGAATCGAAGTAAACTAGGTGGAAGGTATGATGTCAGAATGGCAGGTAACAGAGGAAGAAGGAGGGGAGGGATTCATAGAAATCGATTATCATTTTCTGGAGGGTTTCAAAGAGGAGCGTTACTTAGAGCAGCGGTTGCAGCAGTGTCACTTTCATTATCACAGAATTGCCAAATTAGTAGGAAGAGGAAGATGGTTCTTAAGGAAGCACAAGCTACCTTACATATTGGAAGGCAACTGGGGATGAGCTGTGAAGGGATGGAGCAAGAGGTGATAAACAAATTAGTGGAGTTGGAAAATCAAGATGCTGAGAGGTATGCTAAGATTGAAAAAGGGGGGGAGAAGGGTCAGAACTAGTGGACTGAAGAGTTAGGGGTGGTATGGTTTTTAAAATTAGTCTCATGAAAATTATGTCCTGGAATGTAAGAGGGTTGGGAAGGCAGGAGAGGAGAAGTAGAGTTAGAAATGTAATTAAGGATAAAAGAGTAGATGTTATGCTTATTCAAGAGACTAAAAAAAGCAACATAGATGAGTACTTTGTTCAGTCTATTTGGCCATGGGAAAGGATGGAGTATATAGTTGTAGATGCTGATGGGAGTGCTGGGGGCCTGTTGACTATCTGGAATCCTAACATTTTTACACTATCAGAGTGCAGAGTGCTATGGTAATAGAAATTTTTTGGCTCTTTCAGGTACTGTTAATGGATCTTTTGATTGCGTGTTACTTAATATATATGCCCCGAATGATGTGGTAAAGAGGGCAATGCTATGGGAAATCATTCTTAGGATTAGAGTGCATTTTCATAGCCCTTGGTGTATGGGAGGGGATTGTAATGAAGTCAAATGTATAGCTGAGAGAAAGGGGCGCTCAAGGAGAGATCGAGGGATGCAAGACTTTAATAACTTTGTTGTGCAATTACAAATGGTGGATTTACCAATGTTGGGTAGGAATTTTACATGGTGTAATTCAATAAATGGGGATAGGTGGAGTAATATAGACAGATTTTTGTTGGATCCTAGTTGGCTGGAAAAATTCAGATTCAAGCTATGGGGGTTGCCTAGAAATGTGTCGGATCATTGCCCGCTGCTGTTAATGGAAGATGAGAGAAATTGGGGACCTAAACCATTCAGGTTTCTTAATGCTTGGACCCTGCATCCAAAATTCAGATCAGTGGCACATAAGGCTTGGTCTGAATCATAGGTGGATGGGTGGACTCGGTACAAACTAAAGATGAAACTGTGTGGTCTTAAAGCTGACTTGAAAAGATGGAATATTGAAGAGTTTGGAATTGTGGAGGATCAACTAAAGAAAGCAGAGGAGGAGCTACATGCATTGGATTTGTTGGCAGAATCCAGAGTTCTAGGTGCTCATGAAATTGCATCTAGAAGGGAGGTTAGAAGCCTGGCATGGAAGTTGCGGAGGAGAAAGGATTGGATTTGGTTCCAGAAGTCTACATTAAACTGGGCTCAATGTGGAGACAAAAATACCAGGTATTTTCACATTATAACTAGTAAACGTCAAAGTAGGAATTTAATTGACTCAGTAGTAGTTGATGGGGTTAGTGTTGAGGATCCTGGGTTGGTAAGACAAGAGGTGCTGAGACATTTTTCAAAGGCATTTTCAGAGGAGCGGAAGTCTAGACCAAAACTGTTGGGTAATTTTATCTCAGTTTGTAGATCTCAAGTGGTGGAGGTGTTGGAAGATGAGTTTATGTTAAAATTGATGTATAAAAAAAGAAATAGAGAATTGTATTATTGATTGATTACAAGATTGTTGAATTACAATTCCTATACAATCTATATATAGAAGAAAATGTGGTAGTAGGTGTAGTGGAGGTGATAGTGGGTTAGGTGAAGTGGAGTGTGTGGTGAAGTGGAGGTAGGTGAAGTGGAGTATGTAGTGGAGTAGGTGAAGGTAAAGATGGGAAATTCTAACAGTTTACAATGGAAGAGATTTGGGAAGCAGTGCAAGATTGTGATGGAAATAAAGCTCCAGGGCCGGACGGATTTAACATGACTTGTATACAGAAATGTTGGAAGTTTATGAAAAATGATGCGTTCTAGTTTTTGTAGGACTTCTACACCAATAGGAAGTTGGTTAAAGGGTTGAATAGTTCTTTTATAGCTCTGATACCAAAGAAGATGTGTCCTGAAGGGTTGGCGGATTATAGGCCTATATGTTTGGTGGGAGTGATATATAAAATTTTGGCGAGGATTCTATCCAAAAGACTGGGAAAAGTTCTACCAAAAGTTATTAGTGAAGTGCAAACAGCCTTTTTGGGAGGTAGGAATATATTTGATAGGGCAATGATTGCTAATGAGGTGGTGGAATGGTGGAAGAAATCAAAAAGAAAGGGAGTCATCCTTAAACTTGACTTCGAAAAGGCCTACGATTCAATTAACTAGGAGTATTTGTTCTCTATGATGAATAATTTGGGGCTAGGAGAAACATGGGTGGGTTGGATGAGAACATGTGTCATCACAGCAAGAGTGTCTGTTTTAGTTAATGGGTCGCCAACAGAGGAATTTAGTCCAAAAAAGGGGTTAAGGCAAGGAGATCTGCTATCTCCTTTCCTGTTCAACATTGCAGCTGAGGGACTATATGTGTTATTGGAAAGAGCAAAAGAGTTGGGACTAATAAAGGGGGCTTCTGTTGGGACATCAAACTTAAGATTATCACATCTCCAGTTCGCAAATGATACGATACTGTTTTGTGAAGCAGAATGGGCTGAAATAGTGAATGTGAAAAGAATCCTGAGTTGTTTTGAGGTTATGTCAGGGCTAAAGAAAAAATTTCATAAAAGTGTGGTGTGTGGAGTAGGGATCAGTGAGGAAGAGTCTCAAGCTTTTGCTTCAAAGTTGTTTTGCTTATGTCAAAAGTCACCTTTAAAATTCTTGGGATTACCTCTTGGTGCAAACCCCAGAAGAAAGAAGACTTGGCAGCCTATTGTGGATAAGGTCAGTTCCAAGTTAGCACTGTGGAAAAGGAAGTTGTCATTTGCGGGGAGGCTAACTCTGATCAAATCTGTTTTGGATAGTTTACCAGATTACTACATCTCTATTTTTAAAATGCCTAAAGGAGTAGCAAAGGAACTTGAAAGGATCAAGGCAGCCTTCTTGTGGGGTAGCTCAGGTGTAAAAAGAAAGATTCACTTAGTGAACTGGAAGGAAGTAACAAGGAAAAAGGAGCAGGGTGGGTTAGGATTACGAAGGATCAATGAAATGAATGAGTTCTTGCTGGTTAAGTGGTGGTGGAGATATGGGGTGGAAGAGAACTCATTATGGAAGAAAATTATTATTAGTAAGTGTGGAGAAGTAGTTCGGAAATACTCTTTGGATCCTGTAGGACGCTTGTGATCCTCAGCTAGTCACTTGAAAATGAATGAACACTCCGGTCGAGGGTGACAGAATTAGCACTCCGACGGATAAGTCAGTGTATACTCTCTGGATTACTTATATCTCAAGTTAAACTTACTTGTTCTCACGTACCTCCCTTTGGTTGATACTCCTCTATTTATATTTTTCCCTGGGCCTCAGGGTCGGGCCTACCTTCAGTCCATCGTACAATTGCTTACTCGGCTTCTTCTGTTGCAGACCAATCTCCACTCGGCTCCTCGCTCAACTGGTTCTATGGCTGATTAGAATACCTCTGAATTTATATAAGACGGGGCCGAATGAAATATATATAACTCAACTCCCTAGGAATAGTATTCGGCATCCTTACATCCCCAAATACTCGGCTCCCACAGTAAGTATGGGGCCGAAGGGGGAAGGTGGTTACCAATGAAGGAAGGGAGTGGCAATGAATCTATTATGTGAAGTGATATTCTAAATGTGGCAAGATCTAATACTGGATTGTTTGAGTTCTTTGTATCGAAGTATCAAATTAAGGTTGGAAATGGAAACAGGGTTGCATTTTGGCATGATAAATGGCTATTGAATGTCCAGCTAAAAAGGGAGTTCCCTAGGCTGTTTATGCTTTCAGTGGAAAAGGAAGGCACATTGAGTACTTTCATGCAAACGAGGGACAGCTTTGGGGATTGAAAGCTAATGTTCAGAAGATCATTACTTCCCAGGGAGGAAGAGGAGGTAGTCAGGCTGCAGGAATTAACAAGAGATGCTCCCAGCCTTAGTTTGGAGCAGCAGGATTCAGTCAGCTGGACTGCCACTCGCTCTGGTTTGTTCACATTGGCATCTTTAAGACAATGGTCTGAGGCCAACCAGGGTCCTTCCGTTCAGGTGCCTAGGATGCTTTGGAATAATGTGGCACCTCCAAAAGCACAGTTTTTGAGCTGGATGGTGTGGAGAGGGAGGATTAAAACCACTGATATGTTGGTAAAATTTGGGGTGTTAAGTTCAACAATGGGAAATGAATGTCCTTTTTGTAAAAGTGAAGCTGAAACAGTGGATCATCTATTTTTGCTCTGCCCTGAGGTGTGGATAGTCTGGTCAAAGTTGTTGCTCTGGTGGGGAATAAGATGGGTCACACCTCCTACTGTGGTGAGTCTGTTGCTATGGTGGTCGGGAACAAAATTCAAAAAACTGGTGTTGAAGATTTGGAGACTTGTTCCAATTGCAATGCTCTGGTCTATCTGGAGGTTGAGAAATGAGTGTGTTTTTAAAGGTACACTGCCCAACATGGAAGAGCTGAGTGAGATAGTAAAGGTGAGGGTTGGGTTGTGGGTTAAGTATAATTTATCTAATATACACTATTCAGTCGATGATATTGTGGAGAATTTGAATCAGATCAGGATGTGTCTACTAAGTGCCTGGATGGTTGCATGCTATGGCTGATGCTGTATATTGTGTTGGTTATGGTTTGGTATTTGAGGGTGGTTCTAGTGGGTGTTTTGGTTGGGGTTTGGAAGTCTAGCTTGAAGTTCGGAAGTATAGGAGTGTTACTCTGTTGCTATTGCTGCCAGTTGTTATTGCTACAGAGCTGATGGTAGTTAGTTGTTGCTGTAAGTTTATTGCTGCTGCTGCTACATAGTAGTGCCGGGCCTTGGGTGGTCATCTGTAGCATAGAGGGTAGTTTTCTTGCATTGGACTGATGCTGCTGTTAGGTCTGATGCTGGATGTTGCTGATGTATGCTGCTGTCTTGGCCTGCTGTATGCTGTTACTGCATGTGGCTGTTCTGGTCTGTGCAGTTGCTATGGGGTTGCCCTGGTAAAATGTTGCTTTTGCTGATGGAAGCTCAATGATTTGGAGCTGGTGAGGAATTATGTTACTTGTTTGTTGTTTTGTTTGTTTGGCTTTTGATTGCTTTTGATTGGCTTCTCACCAATCTTGGATTAAGTGCTTGTACATGATTGTGCTTCCTTTGTGGTTGCCAACCTAGTTGGGATTGTGGAGGTTAGCTATGATGCTTATGCACTTCCCTGATTTGTTGATGTAATTTTGCATACAATTTGCTTTTATCATTAATAAATCTTTTTTTGTTGATCAAAAAAAAAATAAGCAGATGATTTTGATACTTAATTCAAGAAATAAAAAGAAAAAGAAGAAAGATGCAAAAATTAGTCATCCTAATCATTTATCTGTAAAATTATTCAATACCAATTCAGTAATTTAATTCAAGAAATAAAAAGAAAAAGAAGAAAGATGCAAAAATTAGTCATCCTAATCATTTATCTGTAAAATTATTCAATACCAATTCAGTAATTTAATCTGTGATTGGCAGTACAGGCAATTAACCATGCCTACTGAGAAGCAAATAGATGTGCTGACGTCTTAGCAAACTAAGAAGATTGTATGACCGATGGATTGCAATTTTTTTACTACATTTCTCATTGTATTGCTAATCAGTAGTATACCAATGCTGTAGGGGTTGAATACCCAGAACTATGTACTGAATTTATTTTTAATAAGTTCCAACTAACCCAAAAACCATCCTCTAGCTAGGGCTCTCAAGAAATAAAGAAATGTTCAAAGGGACTTTACCTCCTGTTAGTGTAATATGCCCTCGCACCATTAAGAACATGCCCAAATTCATCTATAAGGGAAACGAGATTTGTCACAATTCCTTTTGCAGTCTCATACATTTTACTTGCTAGCAAACCCCTGCATGACAAATTCAAAGCCCATCCCATTAAAAAGATATAAAACAAACGAAAATAATGGAGACAACGAAAAAATGTATCATGAAAATATCTCGAAGCTAATGCCAGATGACTAGAAAAACTTAGGATCGACTGAGTGGTTGATCAGAAAAGACATCGAGATTATTTTCACAACAACAAAAAAAAAAGTTAATGGTCAATAAACAAATGTAAAGACAATAAACAAATACTTTGACTGACCAAATTAAAATATGCAATAAAGAAACAACGTATTTCAACCCAAGTAATTAAGGTACATTTTAAAAGTTAGGTAGAATAGTACATTATTGTAGGTATCATATATAAAATTGACTAATTAGAAATATTTAGTTAATTTAGTGGCACACATTTAAATGGTTAGAAGGTAAGGTAATGTTAATAATATTTTTAAAATACATATATATATATATATATATATTCAACTAATCATTTTGAGATTGTATATTTGAAAAAAAAAACATTCAAAAACATTGAAAAATCATGTTATGACTTGGAAGCTACTAACAACTCTGGTACAAAAAATTGCTATGCTAGAGTAATATATATATATAGATCACTCCCCAGTATTTAAGGGTGTGTAAAAAGTTATTACTTTAATTTTTTATAAAAAGATGTACAAAAAAAAGATAGAAATGTGATTGGATATTTCAAATTTTTTACTATTTTAACCAAAACAAAAATAAAAATTCCAACCCCAAATGGACCCTTAAGATTAGATTAGATTAAATTCAATTTAAGAAGAGAGTTTAAAGTAAACTACCAATGGGTCCTAATAGTTGAACTTAATTCCCATCAAATCCTATTAAAAATAAGTCTTGGTAAAATTGTTGATAAAAATAATTTTTTTAAGTTAATTTTTTATATATGTCACTAAAAATTGACAATTAGTGACTTTTTTTGTCATATTTTTTATACATTGTCGCTAAAACTTACAATTAGTGACCCTTTTTTATGATAATTTTTTTTATAGGGCCTATTAGATAATAAGTCCACTTATTAGAACTTACACGTAAGTATATTATTAATTAATGCACAATCTCATCCTCTCTAATTCTACTTTTTTTTTTTTTAGACTTTAATTCGATCAATTTCGTTAAAGAAAATGGTACATCTTTATATCAAGTAAAAAACTTTAAATATGGATTTAATTAGTTTTCAGATAATTAGGATAATTCATGACAAGTAGTCTAACATGATTTGAACTACTCAAAATTTCTCAACAGTATTTTGTATTGGTCTGATCAGATATTTCATGATAGATTAAAGCACAACTAATTCCACTTGAATGTTTTATATTTCACTTATTTCGTGGTGGTTTTTTATTTTTTTTATTTAAATTGTTGTTGTTATTATTATTATTATTATTATTATTATTATTATTATTATATGGGTCAAAACATTGAAAAATCATGTTATGACTTGGAAGCTCCAAACAACTCTTGTACAAAAAATTGCTATGCTAGAGTAATATATATATATAGATCACTCCCCAGTATTTAAGGGTGTGTAAAAAGTTATTACTTTGATTTTTTATAAAAAGATGTACAAAAAAAAGATAGAAATGTGATTGGATATTTCAAATTTTTTACTATTTTAACCAAAACAAAAATAAAAATTCCAACCCCAAATGGACCCTTAAGATTAGATTAGATTAAATTCAATTTAAGAAGAGAGTTTAAAGTAAACTACCAATGGATCCTAATAGTTGAACTTAATTCCCATCAAATCCTATTAAAAATAAGTCTTGATAAAATTGTTGATAAAAATAATTTTTTTAAGTTAATTTTTTATATATGTCACTAAAAATTGACAATTAATAATTTTTTTTTTTCATAATTTTTATAAATTATCGCTAAAACTTACAATTAATGACCTTTTTTTATAATAAATTTTTTCCATAGAACCTATTAGACAATAAATTCACTTATTAAAACTTACACGTAAGTATCTTCTAGTTATGCTATTGGAATCACCTCACTTTTGTTATTGATAGAAATCATTCATACCTTTGACGACATTAAATCCTAACTTCTTCTCTTTTTCTTTTTTTTCTTTTTTTCTATTTTTGGGATTAAATCCTAGCTTTTATAGGTATGCGGATTGATCCTATTCAAAATCATATTTGGATTCATTAATCAATGTCCCATCTATGGGACGACAAAAAAGTAATCATATCAAAATTAGTTTTATTGTTACTACAATTATATCGTTGACAAAGTTGAGGACTTTCCATGTTTCACCTAGACCAAAAACACACGATTATTCCAATCCTGACAAGGTAGGTAAACCATAAAAAATAAAAACAGCAATAATACATACCATTAAAAGTGGTATTATAAAACGAGTAATGCTAGAGGCGTTAAAAATTTTATCAAAAATTTTACTAAATGTCTCGCATGGGTATGGGACCCATACCATGTGGATCCCAGACCGCATGTGAGACATTTGGTAAAATTTTTGATAAAACTTTTAAGACTTCTAATATTTTTATTATAAAACACTTGTGAATTGACGCACACTTAATAAAAATAATATAAAATAAAAAAACAAGATACAGCAACAATGAGTACTATCATTAAGTAGTCTCAACTATTTTCCAAATAAAAAAAAGAAAAAACAATTCAATCACTTTTTCCTTCACGCATTTTCTCGGAAACCAGAAAAGAAAACAAATCAAAACAACTCACCTTATTACCCAGTAAGAATCCCAATAGTAAACCTCTCTAAACCTCGACCCGGGTATCATCACCGGTTTAGCCAACGGGAGCAGAGTATGAAACTCGGGCCGGTCCAAGACCCGGTCCGACACTTTCCGGCTCAAATTCTTCCATAGCGAATGAACCTCCAAAGCCCAAGCCCGAACCTCCCGGTTCACCACCTCCGGCAAAAAACCCTCTGGTTCGGGCACGAAATCGACCGGTTCAGTATAAACCAAATCTTCTCCAGCACCATTGAAGTAGCTCTGAATAAACCCATTAAAATCGGTAACCGATACAGATCCATTGGGGGTCCTTGGAAGATCATCGAATGCGTTTTGGGTAATTGACAGATTGGATTTTAATGAAAGATCTACGTAGAGTTTTGGGTCGAAGTTTTTTGGACCCAAGGTGTTGAGTGCAGTCCGTTGGAGAATTTCAAGAAAGGTGATTAATGGGGTTTTGCGGACTACTGGGCCTGAGTTAGAACATGTCGGACTTGGAGTTGGAGTTGATACGGTTACGGATGTGAAGATGAGAGAGAGGATGAAGATGATGAAGGGAGAGAAAGGGTGGGGGATTATGGGATTAAAGTTTGCCATTTTTGGATGGTTGAAGAAGACATACTAATCTGTGTATATATATAAATATGATATCAAGAAGAATGATTGAAGAAGAAGAAGAAGAAGAAGAAGAGGAGGAGACCGGCACTGGAGCCTGGGTTGGGTTGGGTTGGGTTGGGTTGAGTTGGATGCTTTGATTTTGGATGTTTCGATGAGTTGGGCCATTTTGGGAATATGAGGCTCGTTTGGAGCTATTTTCGTAATTTTTTTATTAAAATATAAGGTAAAAAAATTAGTATATTTTGAGTATTTTTTGACTTTTTACGAAAAAATATGTAAAAAATAGAGAGAAAAGAGAATCGTTGACTTTTTGATATATGTTATAGGCTTTTTGATTTTTTTAATAAGTTTTTGACTTCTAGGCTAAAACAGCTATTTGCGAAACGAGACCTGAGTCAAAAGTAAAAAAAAAAAAATTAATTTTTAATTTATTTTAAATCATATTTGCTTGTTTTCACTTTTCTAAAAATACTTTTTAAAAAATTTATTTTTTTATTTTTTGTATTTTTTTATTTTTACTAAATTTTTTAATATTTTAAGCAATTTTTTTACTTTTTAGACATACCTAACATAAATATACCTAAAAAGTAAAAAAATTGTGAAATTTTTTTAAAAAAATTCACTAAATACTAAAAATATTTTTTAAAAAAATACTAGAATTCAATATATTTTTTATATTTTTATGTATTTATTAATTTTTAAAAATATTTTTTTTATAAATTTTTTACTTTTTAAATACATTTAAGTAAGGTGCATTTAAAAAATGTTTTAAAAAATGTTTAATATTTTAAAAATATTTACTAAAAATTAAAAAAAAATACAAAAACTAAAAAACTCAATTTTCAAAAAATTTAATTCAAAAAATTTAAACCAAACATACTTATAGTTATAATAAAAAAAATTAAAATCAAAAAAATTAATTTTTAATCACCTTTTCAAATAATGTCACGAAAAAAACACTAATGTCATAATTTGTTGTAACATATTAACCCGATGTGTATGTACGGACGTTGTTCCTCTCTCATGTTTTTTTTTTCTTTGTTTTTGATGGGATTCTCTCGTATTATTGTACTAGCGTATATTCATACTTAGAAATATGGTGTAATTAATAAAAAATTATAATATAATTAAATATAAAATTATTAAATTAAAATGTAACTTATCAAATCTATTACTAAAAATTTGAGGTGAAAATATAAATACAGGTAGACTTTTTCAATTTGTAAACATATAACACCACTTTCATTATCTCTCTTATCATTGCTTGTGAAAAGATTACATTTTAATAATGAAACTAAATTTTTTTGTTTTTTTGGTGTGTTAACGGAACCAATTTAAAATTTTGAATTCAATTTGTTCACCAAAGAAGAAAACAATTTCCAAAAAAACTACTTCCGATTTTATTTTGATCTGTTTAGTGCTGTAGCAATAACTTTTTTAGTTGATTTTTTTAGCCTGAGACTTTTTTAGTCGTTTGATATTCTTGTTTGACTTTTTGGCTTTAGAATGGTAATTTTTTTTTGTCTTTTTGTGATTTTTGTCCTTTTATGATTTTTTAATTTTTTTTTTGTCCTTTTGTAATTTTTTAGCCCCAACTCAAAAACCAAGCAACACCTTAATGATATTTCGTCTCTTAATAATCAAGGAATTTCAATTTTTTTATTTATGTAAATTTTGAATTCAACTTTATAAACTAACGAAAAAAATTCCACAAACTTTTTTTAACATAACCATATTCAAACCCAACAGCACCAATTAGCACACAAAGAGAGGTAGAGAGAGAAAGGAAGATGGGTGAGAAATCAAATAATATTTTTAATTTTTTTTTTTTTGAATAATGCTAGAGACCCTAAATATTCTACCAAAAGTTTTACCAAATGTCTCACATAGGTGTGGGACCCACACAATGTGGGTCCCATGTGGGTCCCACACCCATGTGAGACATTTGGTAAAACTTTTGGTAGAATTTTTAGGGCCTCTAGTATTTTTGTTTTTTTTTTCTATAACCGAGGCATGTCTTAGATTTATGAATTTATGTATTTTATGCTCTTATGTGATTTATTGGTTTGTGTGTTTAGAGAATGAGTGGTGTTTTGGAAAGTTGATAAAAATTAATTTTTTGACTTTTTGATTTTTTTTGTGACTTTTTTAACAAAAAGTTGGGTTCTTTTGTGTAAAAAAAAACTAACTTTTTTTGCTAAAAAAGTTAAAAAGTCAAAAAATTGACTTTTTACTATTGTTCTCAAAAGATCCCTGAAGAGCGTGGAGAGAGAGAGAGAGGGAGTGAATATGTTTTTGAAATTTAAAATCTGAAAATTGAGACGGATTAGAGAGAGAATAAGGTAAGTTGTGAAAGAGAAAGAGGAAGGGTGGGTGAGTGAGTGGGTGGGTGCAAAGTTTTAAATGGTGATGTTAGATGTAAAGAAAATAATTGCAGTGGAGAAAGTAGTGCACTACACTTTAAGCCTCCGTTTGGAAAGTGGGTTGACTTTTTGGCTTTTTGATTTTTTTTTTTATTTTAGCCTGGACTAAAAAGCTTAGTTTGGGAATGACTTTTTGGCTTTTTTTATTTTTTTTGTGAGAGAAGAGTGTAATGATTATGGATTGGACGTGATGTTTTGTTTGTTATGACTAAAATAGCTTATTTTATCTTTGTGACTATTTAGAAAAAGACAGTGAGAGAGAGAGAGAGAGATTTTGAGAGGAAAATCAAAAAATAAAGAAATTATCTTGATCTTTAAATTGCTAGATAAAAAAATTTAAACCGTTGATATATTTTGAGACATCTTCAAAAACAATTTTACTTTATTATATAAATTAAATTCTGTGTATAAAGATCAAGTATTATGTCAAATCCAAAACCTTTAAAAAAATTAAATCCAAACATATATAAATTGAAAGTTACATAAAAAAAAATAAAAAATAAACAAACAAACAGAGCGCGCACACAAAAAAACAAAAAACAAAAAAAAAAAAGAAGAAAAAACCACGTCAATTTAAGGTTTGGAAACACAACCCTTTCCATCAATTTCCCACTCATTATCTCTCCTCCATCTTCCACCACTCTTTGTCACTATAAACAGAACTCACATAGAAAAATGCTTGGGAGCACTAATTAGTGCTCCCACTAATTAGGTGGCAGTGGGTCCTGTCATTAATGATGTGATGTTTTGGTCTTGGTGACTCACATATTAAAAAAAAAAAAAAAAAATTACACTCATTTTATGAATATTAAAGTATTATTTCAAATCTAAAATCTTTTAAAAAAACTAAATCTAAATCCATATAAATTGGAAGTTACATATAAAAAAAAAATTAAACAAATAAATAGAACACCAAAAACAAACAAACAAACACACACACACACGTCAATTTATGGCCACGTGAGATTGTCCATCAATTCCCCACTTATTATCTCTTTACACCCCTTATTGTCTCTCTACACAGAACTCATATATTCAAAAAAGGCAAATTACAAGCATCTCCCTCGAAATTTGATAAAAATACAGATTCTCTCTTAAAGTTTGAGAAATTATAAATTGTCCCTTGAAGGTCAAATTTACATAACAAATTGGGGAGAAATCTGTATAAAAATAAAAATCACAGTGGGACAATTTGTTATGAAAATATAAACCTTAGGAGGCATGATGTAATTTCTCAAACCTCAAGAGAGAATCCGTATTTTAGTCTAACCTCGAGAGGTGTTGGTGTTTGTAATTTGCCCTTCAAAAAAACATATATACGGAGGTATGTATGTCTCCACAATTTAGGTGGCATTCAAAAAATATATCCACCTTCCTCTTTCTCTCTCTACCTTCATTTTATTTTCTCTTTCTTTTCTTAAGTTCTCATCAGCCTTTCTCTATGGTGTTTGGTACTTCCATAGATTTCAAAAAGTTATAAACAATATATCAAAACTCAAATATGTTGGAGGTTATTAATAGCTACAAAGACACTATTTTAATTAAACACAAATATACTATTTTAATAACATATAAAGACTGATCTAATACACAAAGAACCACACTATTTAACAAAAAAATTAACTTGACTGTGTTGACAAATTATCAAATTCCCTAGTTTGAAAGAAATTAGAAAAGAGAAGTTAAATTAGGCAACAGCAAAATCTAAATCACACCAAATAAATTTATATTATAAAATTTTGAGATATTATACAATATATTTTGTATTCTTGGGAATGGAAAGCAAACCCACAGGTTGCCCCCCACTCCCTCTGCCTATTTTTTCTTTTCTTCTTATACTTCTTTTTGCTTTTGTTCTTTTTTGAGCAAGTTGTCTCTCTTTTTCCTCTACGTCTCTCTCTTCCTCTTCAAACTCCATTGTTGCTCAAGTTTAAGCTTCAAATGGGAGTCATAACCCAATTAATGAAAATTCATTAACCCAGAACATTCATTAAAACACATTAAAAATCACAAACCCAAACCCAAATCTTAGAAACATAAATCCAAACATGTACCTAATCAATAGAAATAAAAAAATACATAAACGCAACACAATAAAACCTTTCAGAAATCAAAACACATTTAAAAATGAAACCCATTTCAAAACCATCAACAAAAAAAAGAAACTAATCAAACTCTCGATGATGGAGGACGAAGGCGCTGCTGTGGGTTAAGATCGAAGAGAAGAGATGAAGAGTTACTGTCGATGGAGATTGCAGTGTGGAAGAGATGTGGCAATGGAGAGCTGTTGTAGTGGGTAGAAATGTTGCTTCCGGTGGCGGCAGAAGAGGGAAAGGGAGAGACATGAAGAGAGAGAAAGGGTTTTGTCGACGGCGTGCTCCTAGCTAAGAGCGATGGTGACGAGATGAGAGGTGGTGAGCGGCAGGGCCGAGAGTAGAGGCAGCGGACAGAGTGATGAGAGAGAGAGAAAAGCAAATGAGAGTGGAGCGTGGACGTGGCTTTTGAGAAAGTGGCTTTGGGCAAACCGAAGCGTGTTGAGGAAGATGTTTATGGGCGGGAATATGAAATCCTTAGATTGGTTCATACATTTTTAAGCGTTAGATATTGTTATTAAAAGTCAACTCAACCGTTCAAATGTCCACAAATGTATATAAGACAAATTCAAATTCAGCCTTCCATTGTTATATAAATATATATATATATATATATTCTATAAAAAAAAAATCATAAAAAAAATTTCTAGCCAAATGGTGACTTTGTTGAACACAGGAATATGGGAAGAAAGGGACTTTCATAATACATGGCCAAACTATACTGAAGAAGTGACATTTAGGTAAGGAAAACCTACTCCTACATATAAAAGAAACACGTGCATGCATATCTTATCACAATAATGAGATTTTAAGGTTATTTGCATGATGAAGACGCAGTTCATCCGACATAATCTTGCACTGCATGCACCGTCAGCACGCTTTCCTGTCGCCTTTAATCTGCATCTATCTCTTCATCTCAATTACGTCATCATCAAGTTGCAGCAGTACAGGTAAGAAAATACAATTTTAACGCATCTCCAATGGTTAAGTTAAATGACTAGTCAAAGCATCTACCCAGTTATATGCATGGCGATTGTTTGATTATTGATCTAAGTGGCTAGATTTTGATTTGGTTTAGCTGTTGAATTGATTATTGATTTGGGATAAAGAATTGGTTGCTTGTAATGATAGAAGAGAGAATGGGGCAAATTTGAGTCTGATTTGAGGTGGTTCTGCAAAGTGGAGGTGGGTAAATAAGGCAGAAGAAAGGGTTCTCTTGCATCTTCCCTCCCTGGGATCATAAACTCTCACCAAGTCAAAACTCTACAGTTGTTGTGACCTATACAATTTACTGGTTACATAACATAAATGCACACACCACATATATACACAACATATATACACAATTCATGCGACCCACAAGAAGAATTGGCTGTTAGATGACTTGTATGGTGATTTGGATGTGTGATGGGTTTGTCATGAGAAGGGTAAAACAGGCATTTAAAGAAATTAAAATTATGCTACATCATCAAAGATTGTTAGGTCAACTAATGGTTGACTCACATGCAAATTCTACCTCAAACTAGTCTAGAATCAATCAATAGTACATCCCTTGCTTGATTGTTAGAAGGAAAGCTGGGAAGCCACACCACGATCAAGAAAGACGCATCCTTTCTTTGAGGCAATGGGGGTAAACATGCGATCAAATCCCGGTAAATCACAAATTGACATCTTGTAGAAAGGTGCAAGGAAGGCCTCATATTTAAAACATATTTTCAACCAAAAATTGTTCAACTCACCCATTTTATATGCTATATTTGATTGAGTCCAAAAACGAGGGCAAAAAATTATGAAGGTAAATGACATTTGTCATTAGACGTTTTCCCCATTTAATTTCAGCTCTATATCTACATGATAAATTGCATTATATCTAAAAATAATAAGACCCCCTATGATACATAGAAAATCATATTAAAGGTGAAGAATTCTCCTAAAATATTTGGGTGATAAATAGCTTCTCTTAAATACAAATGACAATTGCTTGGATTACATGAAGAGAACGGACAAGGTACACAAGCTACTATTCAATGTTTGACCTAATGAAATTATGCTCGAGTGTATGTAGCGTGCGCGCATGAATTAAGAGGGGCTAGGATCCTCCGTTTTGAAATTTTCTTAGTTCTTCTGTGCAATGCATTCATAGATGCTAATATGATACAAATCTCAAAACAAGATAGTACAACTAAAATAGTTTATTATGTATTCTTAGCAGCTAACCTAATAGGAACCTCAAAGCAGGATCATCTGACTGGGAGTATATTACAATGAAGGAACAGAAATTTCAGCACAAAAGCAAAAGGGAAATGAAGAAAATGATAAGCTCCTCAGTTGTCCCTTCAGTTCCACAGGTAGCTCTATCTAATCCGATAAAGCTTCAGAAATTGGAACGACAAGAAGTCTTCATCAACGAAGCATTTCTTTTTCTTTTTTTCTTTTCCTTTTTTTTCTAACAATGCCTAGCGCCGGGGGGGGGGGGGGAATGAATGATAAAAACAAATAAATACATCCGATCAATGTGTATGATAACAACAAATAAATACATTCGATCAATGTGTATATATACACAAACAGAGACATTTGAGAAGGTGACTCGGGACTAGGAAGCCCAAAACTTCCTAAATATCAAGAATGGTTGTTACCATGACAAGCACAGATGAAATTGGAACAATACAAGACCAAGTGCCAACTGTCAAATCAACCAGATTGACCACACTGGATAGAACACAACCCTCTTCACCATTACAAATTGATAGTCACACAGGCAATGTTTTGAGCAGTAGAATCACAGTTGAAAATTTCCTTTGAACTCTGGGATTTTCTAATTTAGCTGTATAATGTGTCTATGCTAAAAGAAAGCTAATTTGAACAATCAATCCTGAAGTTGAACATCACAGCAACCTTGGATTGCTAATGAAAAGCTAGGGAAGCAGATAAAAAGCGAGCTACAATAACGAACGTTTTCCCCTTAAGCTTCGCTTATCCCCCTTGGGGGGAAGCAGGTATCCTTACGTACTAGATTCCTCTTTGGGTAGGAAGCAAAGATGCTTCCTAGGGAGCACCCCACTATGAGGAGGACCTAGTAACCCAAATGAAAAGCTTTACAAGCCAGTGTTGTGCTAGTGGCATTGGCATGGTGTATGTCTAAGGAAGGAGTGGAATTGGGAATTCGCCTCCCATGGTCTTTTGGATTATCTTTCCAAGGTCAGGTGTAAATACTGTTTGAAAATACTTTACTAAAAATGCAAACAGTTCATGAAGAAGAGCAGTATGTTCAGGAGACAACACTTCAAAGCAGAGAACCCACCCCCTCGTTCACTGTCAAAAGCTTTGCAGACTCAACAATCTTGAGACATCTACTTCTTTCGACAACAAAGTACAGATTTCAAAGAAACAAACACAAATTCTAGTAACTCCCACAGATGTTTAAAACAGGAAAGGTTCTCTATGAATTAAGCAAAACAAAGCAAAGGGTTTGTTGCAGAGGAAAGAAAAATAACAAGAGGAAAACTGATGGTCCATGGAAGTTCTGACTTCTCATATGAAAAACAATTAAAGAATTTATCTACTTTTTTCATTATCTTAAAAATTAAAAACTCTTTAGAGCAACACTTATAAAAGGCCAGCAGTACCAGTCACCATATAGCATATGTACGCAAACAACTCTGTATGTTTACATATTAATTTCTGTTCATAATAGAAATTCAACAGAAAAGAATTTTCAACAAAAAATTTCATAGAAGCCCAAGACCAAATCAGCTCGATACTTTTCATGCATGTTTGTACAAAAGTTTAAAAACACATCATTTCGCATGCCGTAGAAGATAGATTGATTCCCTAAATAAGTCCATGAAGCAACCAACAAGGAAATAATACCGTAGCATTTATTAGAGGGCTACCAAACCAAGTAACAATAAACTTTTCCTAGGTGATCATGGTCAATATAAGGTAATACTTATTTGCTCCTCAAGAAGAGCTTATTATGCACAAAAAAATCCACCAATAAAGTAAAAGAACAATGAAAACCAACTACCACCCTATATAGTTATATTGACTTCACTAAAGAACATGTTGATAAGGTGTAAGCGGTCAATATTGGAAATAACTTGTAACTTAAGAGAAAACATCTGATCAGTTACCTAGGATGTCCACAATAACTTGTAAGAGCAATTAACAAGTACTTCTAATTGTATCCATAAGCTTCCATAATCATCTTCCCTATCTAGTAAATACACAAAACATCACTAATGCTGTATATTCCTGTGTATCATGACTCAGAAACGGTGGGACCAACTCCACTACCTGTTTGTTTTCTGCAAGGGCTGCTCACAACATTTTAATTCTCACAAAACTTTCTAGGATAATCCTTACCTTAACAGCCAAAAAAACACTGCAAGTCATCCTAGGACTGAAGTATCTTCTTGTAATCTTGGAATGTCCCAGCAAAAGGTGTCACTTTCCCTTCGGATACCGCCCACAGCTGGTCCACGCTTCCAGATATCAGATGTTCATCATGACTCACCTACAATTGAAGACATGATTAAATACTGTTGTCGCAATTGCAACTGGAAATTGAAGGAGAAGAGGCACAATACCATCAGCACGCCTCCTTGGAACAGAACAAGACCCTGAATTAATGCCTCCACAGCATCCAAATCCTGCATTTCACCAGTATTACTATGTTAATTAGGGAACAAAGAATCAAATATGCAGTTGCAATGCTTTTGTTTTCTTATTGCAAGGCTTACAACCCACAAAAAAAAAAAAAAAAAAAAAACAAAAAAAGAAAGCAACCCAATTTTGGAAGACCATAAATCATTACGAAAATCTACTGCTGCAAACATTCATTTGCATTCCCCATATGCAGGTTCCAGTACAAAATGACCCCTAATAGTTAAGCAGTTTGAATTAGCTCAAAATGCTAAATATTGAAATAAGCGAATCCAGAAACCAATCTGCCACGATCCTGAACATCCCGTTGAACAATGAGCTGGATAATCTTCGAATCACATGATAACAAAGGATTAATTTTACCTTCCTCTAATAAGTACAATCCTGCACATGAGATTTGCAATAAATGAAGCAAATAAAAACATGATACAAACTTACAAGATGATTCGATGGCTCATCTAGCAGTAGAATATGAGGCTTTTTGAAAGTTATCTTTGCAAATGCAACTCTGCTTTTCTGACCACCTGACATAGTATCCAGAGCAGTTTATAATACATGCAGAGAAATCTTCAGTAAAGAAGGCTATAGGCTATGAGCAAGGTTCTGAAAAGCGGTTGCGGTCGCCGTAACGGTGGCGGTGACGCGGTTGCGGTTGCGGTTGCGGGGTGTAAAGGCCGTAGTGTAACGGTTGCGGTAACCGGAACCGTGCTCCACGAATTATATGGTGTGAGAAAAATTAGTTTGTCCATGTAGTCATTAAATTCAGAGCATGGTTTTCAAAGAACTAAATCAATGTAGTAGGCAGTCTTCTTCAGGTCCAAGTCCAATCAAAGTTTTAGTATTTAGTAAAGTACAATTTCCACCTTACAACATTGAAAATGAATAGAAAAGTTAAGGTAGGTACCAGACAGGGTGTACATTGGTTGAAGAGCAAGATTTCCAGTTATACCAAAAGAACCCAAGTGAGCTCGAAGCTTCTGTTCAGGCACACCCTGCAAGAGGAGAAAAAACAAAAACAAAAACAAAAAGCAAGTAAGAAAGAAAGAAAGAAAGAAATCATACAACAAAAGATAAATCATTAAAAAAGCCTGCCATAAAGATTTACATTCATCATGTATGCTTCCAGACATTGACATATATAACTACATATAAGCTGGGATCAAGTTATCCCTGGTGGTCGAAAATGTCATTTATAGACTCCTCAGTATCTATTTCTAGGACATCATTCAATGAGTCACCCATATCATGGTTGTCATGCAGACCAGATATCATTATAACAATCATCTCTCCCTCTACAAAACTCTAATTTAGAAAGTGACACAGCTAGGACAGCTCCTGATCTCCATCAACTTGATATTTTGCCATTGGCAGACAAGACAAGCACCGAGGGACTCTCAATCCAACTATAGAATTTGCAAAAAAAAAAAGGGGGGGGGAAAACACAAAGAAGTTACCAAGGGGTGCAAAACTATATAAATATAAACATTAAATTAGAAACCCATCCACAACGATGGTGATTGCCTTCACTCAAAACATTATGGGATCCTGTTATTAGCCAATGGATGAAAAGTTTTAATGACGTATAGAATAGAAGAAACCAGCTGATTTTCTGGAAGGTTAGAACTCCATAGCTGAGGTGAAACTCGATCTTGAACTTTCTAGCAATCTTAGCTGGATTTGCAGACAGATACCTAGACGCATTGATAACTCTTTCATTTCTTTCTCTCCTTTTTTTTTCCCCATCTCCATAAATTTAAAAACTCAATAAATGCACTAATCACAACCTCAATAGTGAACATAAACCAAAAAATCAAAAGCCAAGACATAAATTATACTGAGAAGAAACTCACTGGGAAGCAGCGCATCATGTATAGAAGGGGATTTGAAGATAGGTCTAGCCCGTCTACATGATGCTGACTAAACACAGCAATGCGAACCTGTAAAGACAGAACAACATTAGTGCCAGCAACTTAAGGTAGGTGAGGCCATAAAAAGTTTGGAAGTATCTCAAACTTTCAGCAGTCATCGTCCAGTCCACAGAAACTAAAATTTAAGTGTTTCTCAACTTAAGAGGCTAGGAAAACGCAGTATATAAGTTTAAAGAAACATGAATCATGTACAAGTGACAAGTGCGAAGTAGGCTAGGATTACATAGGATACTGTGATGACATCCAACAGACATAACTAAAAAAATCAAGGACCACATTTATCACATTAGCAGTGTAGTGGCATTACAAGGTGGCCCCCAATATTGCTTGCTGCAATGACTAACCAAATCTCAAGCTGGAAGTAAACTATAAATTGTATCCTTGGCCATCCACAATCACCTTGGAGTATTTAGCAAAAGGAAAGGAATACTGACTGATATAAATTTTAACAAGTGAAGATTGGCATGGAAATGAAGAAACAGATGAAGTGGCAAATAATCCCAGCAAACATGATCCAAGACAGAGTCCCTGGATTTAATAAGTTGAAGATATTTATCCAGAACTCAAATTTAAATGTCAGAAAATATATTTGGTTTAGTCTATACTATTATATATGTGAAGGCTTCTCATGGTGTTGACATCTCATATTTTGGGCTTTCCCAAAATCCCCCCACAATAGTTTTTTAAAACAAAAATTATATGGAGTGGTGACTGGGACTCGAACCCAACCCAAGACCTCGGTTTGGGAAACAATCATTATCTTTACCATTTGAGCAACACACAACATATATACTTTTATATCAAAATCAGAATTTATATTCTACAGATTTAACAGCACACCCATTGGGTGGGCACACACTGACTAGTATGTGAAAAGCAATGAAACTTCTTTCTTCTCATAGCTGAACATGTTTCAAGTTTTAACTATCAATTTGGTGACTGAATTTGTATGGCATAGAAAGTTTTTACCTGTTATCAGAATCTTACAATTCGCGATTCGATTCGCATTTTTTGCAAAACCGATACGAATCTATGAGTGAATTTATTTTGAAGTGAATCTCTAGTGAATCGCACAATTCACTATCGATTCACGATTCGATTCACTTTTTACAATTCATGCAATTTTTAAAACTATCATGACCGACACATTTTGATTCCCTTTTTTTTCTCTATTTTTTTAGTTAAAATAACGTAATACAACTTCTAATAGTGTTTAGTACAAAAATAACCAACATATATCCATGATTTGTTGTTATTTTGGAGATCATAGAGTTTTCAATAGGATCAAATCAAATTGAGTCAGACCTAATATGTTTTTAACCCTTCTTCTAATTTTTTTTCTTGAAAGAAATCATAGTGTATCTTCCAAAAATGTTTAAGATTAAAGTAACTTGCAATATGAATTATCTATTGCTATTTTATTGAAATAAATATGCTTCAATATTACATGAGTGAGGTAATATTGAAGTAGAAAATAAGGATGTGTTAGAATTTATCTTCACCTACACCACTACCACCTCACCTACTCCACTAAACCTAACCCACTACACCACTACCACCTCCACTTCACCTACACCACTACCACCTCTACTTCACCTACTACACCTATATCTCCTATATAAGGAGCCTCTCACATTTGTACTATATACACAATCAATCTACCAATAATACATTATATTTTAACAGGATGTATGCTTATGAAATATCAACATCGGTGTTAAGTTATTGTTACTTAGAAATTGAGAATTTGTCTTTGTTTACTTTCTTTATTAAGATTGTTGGTAAGCAATATCTAAAAAATGGAAAAGATATGATGGTGATCTTACATGGGAACATGTGTTAACTTCTTACCTATTAGACCACGTGATCATCATTCAAAACAACATTTTCATTAATTTAAGTATAAATATTTTTTATTTGTAAGATATATTTAACATCTAAGTGTGTAAATATATTTTTCTAAGTAACTTAGAAAAAGTGACTGAATCTTTACGATTCACGATTTGACAACTATAAAATAAATTCAAGTTATCCAATAATAAATAAAACTGTATAATGTTAAGGCATTCTCGCTTTGAGCATTCCTGTATAAAAAAATGAGGTTATATTAAAATTATATCATAAACTGTTTAAACATATGAAACACAAAACTTTGGACTACTTTTTTAAGTTCCAGGAATTTTTAAGTTTTTTGCTCCTATTAAAAACATAAAAAATAAGAAATGGGAAAGTTTTTATCAAAAACTAAAGCATGGACCACAGCCCTAAAAAACGTAAAATTTTGCAATGGCCAAGTATGACCACAAATAGTGTTAGGTGAGTAGCTTTGGATATGGATAGAAGAAAAATAAAACAGTGAAATAACATTGTATCCCTAATCCGAAAAGGACAGGCTAAAGTTTAAATAAGGTTTACACTTCGTGATTAGATTGGTTGGACTCACTGACAGAAAAGAAGGGGGGGGGGGGGAAGAAAAAAAGAAAAAAGAAACTCTAAATTATGAATAGTAAGAGCTTTGTCAAGGTCAGGTAAAAACACATGATCACCTGTTCTCAGGTTGTATTTTATTTGTGACAGTCAATGTTGAAAATTTGGATCTTGTACAATTTAATGGGACTTGGGAGTAGATTATTAATTCAGTAAGTCTAAATTTATAGAAAATATTCTAGAGTCTGGTTAAAAAAGCTGCATTTGCGGCTCTAGTCATCATATTTGCACAGAACGAGCAGGTGAACCTTTGCAGACAACTGAAACAGGGATTCAATATTGAGAGCATTGGCAATGATATGAGAAATAGATTTGCTGCTGCATAATGTACTGGAGACAGTTGCAACACAAATATATGACTAAAGTGGGGATTTAATTTTTCGTAGAAAAGGTCGGGAAAATGATATTTTGTAAGTCTGAGATCTAAGCATGGTTTGATTAGATTGGAATCTGTTCTAAGATCTGTGATTGTGTATATTGAGTGATAGGCTCTGATTGTATTTTAGCCATCTTTGATGGTTGTTTAATGTTGGCTGGACTTGATTGTATAATGTTGTGGGGAGCGTCCCAGGGGTTGACCCTGCCAGGTATTTGCAGTTAACTCATTGCATGTTATTACATATATTTTTTTAAAATTGGAGCAATACACAAAACTCTAGTTTTCCCTTAAAGGTGGTCACTATCCAATAGTGGCAAGTAAATAAATACCTTGGCCGAACGGTAAACTGTCCCCGAACTTGGTTGCAGCTCCCCTGCAATCAGCTTGAGTATAGTTGATTTTCCAATACCATTTGGGCCAACCACTGCAAAACAAGTTGTATAATTAGAAATTCAAATGGAGGATAAATTGAGCAGCCTAACATGATATTCAAGTAATTGCTCTCTCATATCATCTTTATGTAATTCTAAGTTCCCGAAAAGATGAGGTCTAAAGGACAAACCCCTTGAGATGACATTTTCAAAAATACAAAAGACATAATTACATATAAAAACAACATATCTTCCAATTATTTAAAAAAGTAACTGTGACAAGAGTGATATGTTAACCACTGAACAAATAGATATATGGGTAATACATTAAGTGGAAAAAACACAAAAGTCTTAATTAGAAATTTAGAATAAGCTAAAAAGAAAATTTAGGTCTCGTTTGACAAGTGGCTGTTTTAGCCTAAAAGTCAAAAAGTTACTAAAAAAACTAAAAAGCCAACAACTTATACCAAAAAGTCAAAGATTCCCTTTTCTCTCTACTTTTTGCACATCTTTTCGTAAAAAGCCAAAAAGTCATCCTAAACATACTAGTTTTTTTTACCTTATATTTTAGCCAAAAAGCCAAAAAGTTACTAAAATAACCTGTTCCCAAACGAGGCCGAAAGAGCGCCCAGCAATTTATGTTCAGAAGCAGAAATGTAACCAATTCAGAAAATGATCCTTACTTGCTACACGACTGTCAAGATCAATCCCAAAATTCAAGTTCCTAAACAATAACGGCCCCCCAGGATAACCAAAAGATGCATCACTGCAATCACATTTATAAAACATTAAGTGACTCCAATAAGCAGTTGATCTATACACTGAACAATAATATTAGTAGACAAGGGAATAAAATTTTAACATCAACATACTTGCCTTAAAAAAAAAATTAACATCAGCATGCTCACAGAAAATTGAGAAACATATTAAGCAGATGCCAGGACTTCTTCGACTTGAGTGGTAAATTCCACAAAGACGAATACTACCATGCAAGAACCAAGAAATTTGGCTCACAATCCAACTAGTTTGTTTTGCTCGACTCAGGTACAGAGAAAGATGGGGCTGTAAAAGGTAATGCTTGCAATATTTCTTCTCAAGGTAGGGCTAGTAATATGAAGAATCATGTGGTTTTCTATCTAAGGATGTGAGTGAAGCCGATGAGTGTGAAGGTAATGGTGCTATTGAAATGGTTGTTAAATCAACTCCATCAAAAGATGAAGAAAGGGAAATATTGGTAGCCTTCCATCATTGTGGAATCAAAACCAACAGAAGCTTGAACAGAAGATTTGTCGACTCAAGCTTGGTAGGAAGAAGCAAACTTTTTGATTTGTTGTTCTTAGCCTATTGGCAGGGGCAGATCTACAGTGTGCCCAGCAGGGACACATGCCCGTCCTCAGATTCTCAAAAAATTTACTTTTGCATATAGATTTAAATATAGTTTTCAATTTGCCCCTCCTATAATTTACATATGCCTCTCCTAAATTTACATATGCCCCCCAACAATTTTATAAACCCCTTAGTTTTTTCTTTAAAATCCTTTATATTTTATATATAACATTATATGCATCATACATAAACCGATTATGAAGAAGAACAAAGTATTCGTAAAAAACCACAGCTCTTTTTTTTTCATATCAGTGCTTTTTGTTCCCGTCGGGCTGTTGTTCCATTGTTCCCAAGCTCCTTGAGTCACGATTGAAAGACTGACGGTGGTCTTGGCCAGTGAGTATTCTAGGTAATCAACCACCGCCGACTACAAGTTCATTGAAAATCATTCGAATCTGTAAGTTTCCTCTCTCCGTTGATCTGATACTATGGGGTTTTGCCATTTTGTTCTTCATTCTTGATTGTTTACTTGTGTATTCAATTGGGTTATGTTTTTGCTTCTTGAGATTTGGAATTTGCAATGGCCTGATGCATATATATGATTAGGGCTGAATTTATATATATATATTTTTTTTAATACTCAATCTGCCATGTTTTATTCTTTTAAGAATATATAACGCCTTCTTATAATGAATTTAATGAATGTGCCATGAATGGGATTTGGGAATCTGTTGTGTATATATGCTTTTGGTTTTCTCTCTTGATGCATTACTGAAGCATTATTGCTAATTTTTTAAATGAATATGTTTTTTAACGATGAACCAGTCTATCAATTCAATTGATTATTTTATAGGTGTTTTTACTTAGATGGTCAATGTCATATATATGTAGGTAATAATTTGATTGGAGCTGGATTCAACAATGATGGATCATAAAGGACATTTTTTATTGCATTGATAATGCTACTACAAAGCAAAGCTTTCAAAAGATGAAGACTCATCGAGGTCAATTGTAAAAGTTTACATTGGAAACATTATTAATAAAATTTAAGTTTTGGGTTTATTATTAGTTCAAAAAGTTTACACCATCATTTTTTGTCATTTTCCAAAAAAAAATAATAAAAAAATCTGGGGTTTGTGATCCTGAAGTAATTTCCTAGCTCTGTCACTGCCTATTGGATTGTTCTTGAATTTGCCTCTTTGGCTAAGCTTCTCTTTCTAGGCTTTTTTTTTCTTTTCTTTTTTTTTTTTGGTCCTCATTCGGAGGAGGTTTTGGCCGGCATTGGCAATATTTTTGTGTATCCTTGGGGGTTGTGATTTGAGCTTCAATGTTCATCCATTCATTTTTGGTAATAAAATTGCTTAATTACCCAAAACAAAATGCCAAGACTTCTTTATACATATTTGAGGAACCAGAGAAATTCAAGTAACTTGGAGACAACCTATGATAACATTGAAATAAAAATAGTACCACTTGTAATTCCAAACCTGAAACTTATTATAGGTAGGCCTGGTCTGTCATCTGGAGTAGGGAACTCAAACTTGTAGCTGCATGTCATAAAGGTCCAAAAACGATAATTAAAAATAGCTAAAATGGGAAATGAAATGCAAAATTCATCCAACATCAAAATTCCAGACATTTGGGTGTAAAGAATGTATCAGCCAGAGACAAAAATTAAAATATGCACCCACACACACAGATTTAAGGAAGCAGTTCATACTCGGGGTCATTAATAACTTCGTCCACACGACCCATCCGCTCCAATGCCTGATGAATTCAAGGAAAAAAAGAGGCAATAAGATACATTCTAGACAACAGGACTAACAAGGTAATTAGGAAAGCTAAATAATTCAATTAACCAAATGTTACAAGTTCATAGATGATAAGATAATAACGCACTACAAACACAACCAATTCAAGGGAATAACTAGCCAACTGACATTTGACATTATTTCAACTACACAGTATGTTTCTGAAGTCTAAACACATCAAGCCAAACATTAAAAATCAAAGCTGAATATAGGGGTTCTAAGCAGCTGACAGAGCTACACTTGAGTAATGGTGAAAAGTACCTTGATTCTCGACTGAACAAGAGATGCACGCTTTGCGTTGTAGCGGAACTTATCGATAAAAGACTGCAGCATAAAATAAATAAATAAGGTTTGCATATTAAGCATTAAGGTTTTACAAATTAGAAAAACATGACATGAAAAGAAAAAGAGAATGCACTTTCACAATTCTTTAGTTATCTATGACATCTAAGAGATCTCTTGCCATCAACAATTGGCATGTTGGACCCTGGTCAATGCAAATTAACAATTTTATCACTTGCAGAAGTCAACAACCTTTTACGGTAAAATATGTGCAGTATGCATTTTAGTTGAGGACTCTACTATTTAGTGCTACTTTCTTCATAATTTACCCATTATAAAAGCCCTGCCTTGCAGGTGGCTGCCAACCCTGGCAGATGTTGAGGGTTTTCCATCTCTAACTTCCTGTACTTGTGCCAAACTGCACACTTATATCCACATGCGTGTGCTCAACACAATGCAGCAACTGTAGTATCTCTTCATATTGGAAGGTAAATCACAGCACTACCAATGGATATAAAAACTTGGATAAAGAAGGTTAAGGTACATATCATAACAACAACAGCAACTGGACTACCATTTTTCTAATAGAGAAGAGAGTGAAGTTTTTTGGACACAGCCATCAGGTTACATAATATGATTGCACCTGTGCTTTATGGTACAAAATATTGGTCAATTAAGAAAAAAAAAATGCCAAAGAATGAACATGGCTCAAATGAGGATGATGAGATGGATAAGTAGCAATATAGAACCTTTTTTTTTTTTTAAAGTTAGAACTTACAAGCAGCACCAATTTAAGATAATAGAGAAAAAAAATTTGAAATGGTTTGATCATGTCCAATGTAGACCAACCAACATGTGCAATGTAGACCAACCAATGCACCAGAGGATGGGGGTGTGTTCTCAATTTTGAGTGTGTGGCCTTTATGGGCTGTTGTACCTACAGGAACGTGTCTTGAGCTGCATTATAATTTTTTTTTCGTAATAAAAATGCTTATTTACCCAAAAAAATACACAGATTTGATCCAATTTGATGGTGCCACAAGGACAAGAGGAAGACTAAAAATAACACAGGTAAAGGTAGTAGCTGAGAGATGATTGACTTAATGATTTACAAATTATATGGCTCTACAAGGAAGTGACTAGAAAAGACAGGTCCATCCATGTAACTGACTTCAAGAGATTTCCATCAAGGCCTATGAGGTGAGTTGTGTTTTACACAAGATGAGCTCTGTAATGAATGAAATTTAGCGCTTCTTACATATGTAGGACAATGAGAAATGACAAGAAAAGAACTGTAAAATGAAATCATAAATATCAACTCAACCTTATCAAGATGAGCACCACCAAAGAAAACCAAAAGAGTAAACACAATAAAACAAAAAATATATATATGCAACTTCATTATGTAGTAAAGGAGCAATGAAACAAACCTGCATATGATCCCTCACACGTTCATTTGCCTCAAATGCTTTCTGTTGGTTCTTGAGCTGCTCCTCTCTTGTCCTCTCAAAGGTATCATAATCTCCTTTGTATGCAATCAGTTTTTGTCCATGTAAATGGAGAATATCTGTGACCACCTGAAAGAGAAGTTAGCCAGTGAAATTTCAAATGATTATATAACAAAAAAATTATAAAAAATATCAAATTGACCCAATAACACTAATCTTCAAATAAGATAGTCCAGGATAACAGAAATGGTACCGTGTTCAAGAATTCCCTAGCATGAGAAACAACTATAAATGTTTTCGGCCATTTCACCAAGTAAGATTCCAGCCACAGGACGGCATGAAGATCAAGATGGTTCTGCCACAATAGAGGGAAGAGTAAGTTCTTTCTCAATTCTACTAAATAAATGTATGTTATGAAGGGAACAAACCACACGTGATGTACCGTGGGTTCATCTAGTAGTAACATATCAGGCTCAATAAATAGTGCACGAGCAAGTGCTATTCGCATTCGCCATCCTCCAGAAAAGGTTTTTGTAGCCTTCTTCTGCATTTCTGGAGTGAAACTGAGACCCTGAAGATTATCAAGATAAGTCAGATATGATTCAGGAAAGGGGGATACGAGATTGAAAATGAAAAATCAATGGCATATCTAAAATCAAGAAAACCTATGTTACATGGACTTGGGCATGAGCATCGGGTGCGGGTTTCAGCATTAGACCTTCTTAAATCTAAATCTTAGGATATTTGGATGATGTATCCAAAAGTTGGATATAGATACACACATCATGGGCACTTACATAAGATGTTAATTAGATTATATTCTTAGATAAGATGTTGTAAATTATGTAGAAACATAGTTGACATTAAATAGAATTTAGGAAAAATATAAAATTTCTAGGGTAATTTGGCCAAAAATCTCTTAATATAATCTTCTAATGAAAGGACATCTACACAATTTTTCATGTATAGAATCCTTAAAAATAGATTTTTCATGTGAGAAGAACACAAATGACACACGACAACGAATTTGTCCTTTTGCTGAAAAAAAAACATTTGTTCAGCGTGGTTGGTTTGAAAGGTGCACCAAGGTCATTCAAGAGTTTATAAAAAGACAGTATATATTACAGGTGTATTTCTCTACAGCAACAAAACAAATGACACAAACAATTTGTGATAATGGTATTAGTCAAATCAACCAGCAAGTTTTTGATGCTTTACAAACTGCATTACACAAGTGTATTGTGACTTTTAATTAAGTGCTTGTTTTGTCTCATTTGTCATAATGTATTGGTTAAATGAATCTCATCACTCATGTTTGTTATCAATACACAATATATTAATGTGATGTGTAAAAGTGGTCATTGTAATATTATTAAATTAACTTTGCTAGTGGTGATGGAGTAATTTTTTATTTGAATAGAAATTAAAATTTTACGGTCAGAAATAATTTGTAATTTTATAAACATTAATTTAAGAAATTCTTAGTGCCATATTAAACCAAAACTCTTGTCCACATTAGTGGGCACAAACTGTTTGATGAAAGGTTTAAATAAAGATTTTTCAAGTTGTTTCAGGTATAAGAAATGAATGGCTTCAAAGTTGGGACTCACTTTGTCTTTCGTATCTTCAATAAATTGCTTGTGTATGTGGAGATTTCATATGTATAAATAATAGATTCTTTGTTATCACAGAAAAATTTTAATTTATTAATACTGTAAAATTTTACTCTGTTAAAGTTATAATTAATAACAGTTACTCTGGTTATATTATCATTTCATTGTCTTGATAAATTTTTATTTATATTTGTACTAATGGCAGTTACAGATATAGTTACTTTAGTGATGCAGATGGTATTTCACTATTTAAAAGCTAAATTTAGATAGTAAAATTTTGCTATGAACAGAGTAAGATTTTAGTATTAACACTAGTTTGGACAGTAAACTTTGATTATTATTTTTTTTTTTAAGAATTTCATGGCCAACATGAATCTTATTTAATAGATCTCAATGAAAGGATTCCAAAAATACTAATTTTATTAAAAACCGGTATCTATATCAACAGTTATATCATTTTAAAATTTGAAATATAAAATTAGTCACATTTTGATAATAGTGTTATGTGTAAGGCAAAATTTCTGTACATGTCCTTATTGCATGAAAATTTTATTATGAGGAACTTTTGACCACAATCCCCATAAAAATAACACACACCGAACAGTCATTGAACACAACCATGAGAAGCACGATTGAGATCATCGCCACATGAAGCTAAACCAATTCAATATCCTCCGGGACACCAAATGCAATAAAATATTTGAATATAAATTTTTGTAATCCAATCAGATTAGATAGTGGACTCGCCATACATATATATATATATACATTTACATATATACATATATACATATTTAAATAGAGAGAAAAAAATAAACAGAGTCATATTTGAAAGACAATGTCCATTGATTTCAATAAAAGGACAATTTAGTCTTTTTCGCATATTGTGTTCTCCTTGAGCTAAAGTTTTAGAGCGTGTCTTGCTGGGGAGTAAATTCTTGCGTGCGTCCTCACCAAAAACCCAAATTTCTATCTCTCATCAATGTGAGAGTCTGTAAGCTAGCCAAATGTAATATAATTTATTATTTTGTCCATCAATGGGCAGGCCCTTTGAGACCTCCAATTAAATTAATGTGTGGCCTATGAAGTCCTTCATGGAAAGTGAATAAAATATCGCAAACCTCAAACCCAATGCATAAAGAATAAAACAAAAACACTTCAGTTTTTAGAGCTAAGGTATGACAAAACACAGACATTACACTACTCGAAGTGAACAAAGTAAGATATAGAAATCATTAAATTTCAGTCACTAAAACTCACATAAGTCCAGGGCAAAACTTGAAATTGTATCAGACAATGGAAAATATCAAATATATCTTAAACTATTAAACATAGCTCCAAAGATATATGACATTCCTAGATCTAAACCAATATGCCATGACAATAAAAGTTGGTCTCACCAACACAAAAAACGCACAAGAAAAGGTATGATCGTCATCTTACATGGGAACCTGTGTTAACTTCTTACCTATTATTAGACTACTTAATCATCATTCAAAACCATTCTTAATACAAAAAGTAAACAACGATAAACTCTCAATTTTCAAGTAACAATAACTTAACACCGATGGTGATATTTCATAAGCATACACACCTTTACAAATAACAATGACCCAATAATAAGAATTAATTGGAATCTTTTATTTTAAAACCTATAGCATTTAAAAGGTATATATGCTTATTGTTCAAAAACGTATTTTTTTCTTAAAATAAAAGAACTTGCAGGACCATTAGGTTTAACTGACCTCACCCATGTAATATTGAAGTATATTTATTTCAATAAAATAACAATAAATAATTCATATTGCACGCTACCTTAACGTTAAACATCTTTAAAAGATACATTATGAATTTTTTTAAGAAAAAAAAAATGAGAAGAAAAGGTTAAAAATATATTCGGTCTGACTAAATCTGATTGGATCCTATTGAAAACTCCCTGATTTCCAAAATAACAACAAATAATGTATATATATTGGTTATTTTCGTACTAAACACTATTAGAAGTTATATTCTGTCATTTTAACTACTAAAAAAAAGGAGAAAAAAATACCCAAAATATGTCGGACATGATAGTTTCAAAAATTGCATGAAATGTAAAAAGTGAATCAATTGTAAATCATGCGATTCACTAGAGATTTACTTCCAAAATAGATTCACCTATAGATTCATATCGATTTTTGCAAAAATTGCGAAATATGTCAGAATCTAATGATTCGCGATAACAGAGGTAGAGATTAATCCAGCCGCAATTCAGGATAAACCTAGCTTAAAGGTCAAGTCCAGCAGATACATTACTAACAGTCACTGACAAAATGTAATTTCATGAACTTACCGCAAGAATGGAAGCTGCACGTGACTCTGCAGAATCAGCATCAATCAACTCAAGCCTCTTGTATATCTCTTCAAGCCTTTGTGAAATAGCATTTTTGTCAATCCCCCCATTCAACTCCCCTTTATTCTTTCCAGTTTCACCCTCCATCTCCAATTCTCTCTAAAGGAAAATGACAAAATCATCAGAATGTCTGATAAAATAAGAAATAGGCACACAATCCAACCCAAAATATAAAAGGCAAAATAACAGAAAGTTAATTACTGCAGTAATCACTACTCTCCTCCAACATGAAAGTGTCTTAAGTGTATACTCAACCTGTAATGCAAGTATACGAACTTCTTCTTCCAATAGCTGGGCTCTTTCAATGTCAGCATTAAGAACACACTGCAAGGCTGTTGTATCATCGCCAGTAACTTCCTGCTCCACATGTAATATTTGGCAGTTCTTAGGAATACCATCAATAGCATGCATAGCCATGTACCTGAGGAAAGTTGTTTTCCCAGTACCGTTTCTTCCTACAAGACCTGTAAAGAGAGAACAATGCAATACAATACATCAAAAAGGTAATGGCTTTGCACTTCAACAACTAAGTGTCAGGATGTCAGCTGAAGGGAGACATAATGTGAATTAAATATCAAAAGTATTTTAAATATACTTGATGTAGAATAATGTTCTCTCTTTCAAGAACATGCACTATCAATGAATTTAAAGAAATGTGATTCATGTATATTGTCGGTGGCATTGATCCTCTTAGAGATGCAAGCCTTAGACGTACTGCAATGTGCAAGCCACGTGATATCCATCTCATGAGATTTTTGGGTCAACTATTGTGGAGTTCAGCCAAAAAGGTAGCAGCCCAAGGCATCCTTGCCCACCATCTACTTTTAACCAATTATATAAGAATATTGCAAAAGTTAAATCATTACATGGAAAAGTTGTAACAGAACTATCAATTCTTCACTCATCAAGGAAAAAAAAATCAAATCTTCCGAAGTGGCAGCTCGATAAATCATATTAGTGCATTGATTTAGAGAGACTCTAAGGCCTTGTTTGGGAAGTTGGCTTTTTGACTTTTTGGCTATTTTAGTCTAGCTAAAAAAGTTGTGTTTTGGGAAGATAGTTGGATTTTTTTATAACTGTTACGGTTGTGAGAAAAAAAGTAAAATGATTATGGGTTGGACGTGACATTTTGTCTTATTAGCTATTTTAGCCTATTTTGTCTTTATTGGCTATTTTAGCCCAATAGCCCTTCCCAAACAGAGCCTAAATATCAGTGGAGAACCTAAGATATAGAAATATAGTCAAGCAGCATGAGTAACCAGTTGCTGGAAGTGCAATACGCTGGTGAAATAGCAAAGAAATGGTCATGATACAGATACCAACAGAAATTTAGAATCTAATCCCTCCCCACAAGATACAAAATTCAGTATGCTCATTTCGTTATGTCAATTCTAGGAAAGAAAACTATGTTGCAATGCAAAGCGAACTCACCATAGTGCCTTCCAAATGAAAGTGTCACAGTACCATCAACAATAAGTTCACGACCACCTATAGAGATATTGAAGTTCTCCATATGGATGTCCTTGACAGTTGGTCCCTCGCCATGATGTACACATGCAACAGGCATTCCAGCTTTGACTGCTTCCATTTCTGCTAAATGTGTCTGGTATTGTGCCTGTATAATCAGAGAGCAAACTGATCAGAAAGAAAGCAATAACAAAGCAAATCCAATATCCGGGTTCAAGAACAACATCAACGCATAAGAAAACTCATTTTTATCATTATTTAAACTGAACAGGGCCAAGCAGTGAAATGGAATTCGACCTGGTTTGATATCAAACCCAAGAATGAAGAGAAATAATATTACCAATGTGATTTGATAAGGTCTAATTGATTTCAATAACTATCAATCAAACATGTTAACTTCCTATTGTCGGAATTTTTTCTTTCTTACCTCCCTTTGGCGTTCGTCCTTCCTCTTCCTCCTTTCAAGCTTTATTCTGTCACGTTCAGTTAGCACAGGACCATCTATCACCTCTGGCTTCTTCTTTGGAACTTCTTCCTCATCCATTCCATCAAACATTCTCAATGGCGTTGCAAGACTTCTCACTGTTGGATTAGGCTTAACCAACCCATGCTTTCCAAATTTTTCAGACAGTTTGCCACAAACCTACCATAAAATTCCATGACAATCACATCAAGATTTTAGAAAGAGCAAAAGATATATTATAGACCAAGAAACTTGTCTTATGGGAAGGGTAGGAGAAAAAGAACATTAAAAATAAATTATGTAACATGGCAATTCTAAATAAAGTTTGGGAAAGCACCTAATACAAAAAGTATAACTATTACCACAAAGAGTACAACATTTTGCTCAGCACAAAAAACATGACTTTTACCACAAAAAATATAACTTTTACTCATCACAAAAAGTATTTAACCACAAAAAACATAATTTTGTCATTCATACATACCTTTACGCTGAGTTTGGTTGGGGTGGGAAGGGATTTGAAAAGGAAAAGGAAAAAAATAGATGAAATGTGAATAAATTATACCTACATTTCACACACCTTTTCCTTTCTTTTTCCAAATCACTTCTCAAATTCTCCAACCAAATACAGCCTTAGCGGTACACACCCTAAGTTCGCCAGTCATAACTCTCACCACAAAATTGTAACTTCTACCACAAAAATTCAAAACTTTCATCACAAAAATCAGAACTTTACTTTCTCCACAAAAATCAGAACTTTTCTTACATTTAGGGTGTGCATTGTAACATTTCCCACAAAGTTTTCATTTTGCTCCTAGTGGTTGCCAATCAAAGGAATGAAAAGCCATAATGTATAACACATCAAATTCTTGAGAGTTTCTGTATAATGAAGCCCCAAAATACAAAATACAAAATACAAAAAAAAAAACCTTCCTAATTGATTTGAGTTCTTTTTTTCTCAAATTCAAACCAACATATCAGTCTCTTTTGTATTCAACTATTTTCTCAGCAACAAAACAATGTCATCATATTGCGCAAAATCGTGAAACAATCGATTAGCATATATTGAAATTCTAGCAAATTATCAAATAAAATCGTAATTGAGAATATATAAAGAGTAATTGAAGAGAGTTTGACTAGTTTAGGGTACCAAACGACATTCGGAATGATCAGTAACGCAGCCGGAATCGACCAAGAGTTCACCAATGGCATCGAAAGCGCCTTCGCCTTCGAGGCCGAAATCGAAGTCTTCGTCGGCGAGGACATTGACGATGTAGTCGATGATTGGTTGATCTACGTCTTGAGCTTTTCGACCTAACACTTCGTGTACGACAGTGCTCGCTACCTGAGTCATCTTCGTGTACAACAACCTCTGAAGTTGCACTCGCTCCGACCCGGGCCGCTAGGGCGATGAATGGGGATACGATGACGAGACGGCGAGGTATATATGCTCTACTTTTCTATGCCGCCTTCTTGTCAAATTTCAATAGAGGTTATTTTAGTCAATTAGCAAAAAGTTATTAAATTAGTCAAAAATCAACAACTCATACTAAAAAGTCAAATATTCTCTTTTCTCTCTACTTTTTGCACATCTTTTCGTAATTAGCCAAAAAGTTATCCCAAACATACAAGTTTTTTTTACCTATCTTTTTAGCCAAATAGCCAAAAAGTTACTAAATTAGCCTGTTCCCAAACGAGAGCTAACTAAGCCTCCGTTTGGGAAGTGGGTTGGCTTTTTGGCTTTTTGGCTTTTTTGGCTATTTTAGCCTGGGCTAAAAAGTTTGGTTTGGGAATGACTTTTTGGCTTTTTGACTTTTTTGATTTTTTTTGTGAGAGAAGAGTGTAATGATTATGGGTTAGATATGATGTTTTGTTTGTTGTGGCTAAAATAGCCTGTTTTGTCTTTTATGACTATTTTAGCCCCAACCCAACTTGCCAAACACCACCTAAATTACACATGTAGTTTTCTATTGGATATTTGTCAATAAATCCAATTATTTCTAAAAAAAAAATTATTAATATAAGTCTTCTTCATGGAGGGTTTTTTTTTTTTTTTTAATGTGGTTTTATTTTTAATTTTGATTGTGTTTTAGTATATAGTAATACCCTTTTGTTAATGTGATACTTTAATGTGATATGTATTAATGTAACATTTCAAAAAAATTAAAAATACCTTAATGTACGCTTCCTAAATGTGACAATATGGCGGGTGTAACGTGACACTCCAAAACTTTTACTTCAAAAAAATAAAATAAAAACTATTTAGTACACTTTTCCCTAATGTGACAATGTGATAAATATGATACGACACTTTAAAAAAAATAAAAACTCTTTAGGGCTCGTTTGGGAAGGGAGGGTTCGGGTTTTTTTTTGCTAAAATAACCACAAAAAAATAAAATAGGTTTTTTAATCCAATAAGATAAAATATCACATCTAATTCATAATCATTACATTATTTCTCTCACAAAAAATCAAAAGTCCTTCCCAAACGAGACTTTTTAGCCCTGGGGTAAAATAACCAAAAAGCCAACACACTTCCCAAACAAACCCATGTATTTTTCCCTATGTGACAGCATGACGGATACGATGTAACACTTCAAAAAAAAAAAACTCTTTTGTGTACTTTTCTCAAACGTGATAACGTGGAAAGTATAATGTGACACTCTAAAAAAAAATATCCTTAATGTGCTTTTTCCAAACGTGATTTGTGATACTCCAACGTAGCAGGCATAATGTGACACTCTAAAAAAATTTAAAATTTGTTAGTGTAGTTTTCCCAAATGTGACACTCTAACGTGATGAATATGATGTGACACAAAAAAATTATTTAGTGTACTTTTTCTAAATATGACACTCCAATGTGGTGGGCAAATGAGTCATTACATATTCAAAAGAACTAAATGGATCACAATAAAAAATATGGGACTATATAAATTACAAGTCCAACATATAGGACTTATTGGTCAGTCTCCCTTTCCTATTTACATTAAATCTCACTTGGGCTAATTTTGATAATTAGTTAAAATAGTTAAAAAATATATTTTTTTAAAAAACAAATTTTTTCTTACACTTAATTCTTGAGTAGTCGGTTTATAAATTCTAATTCCAATTTTGTTGGCCAAAAATCTAAGCGTTAAAGCACTTTGTCCAAAAGGACAAGTTTAGACAAAATGACCAAAATATCCTTAGATATATATCACATACGGTACTCATGAACACAAAACATTCTCTTTTTCTTTGTTTGAACAGAAACCTCTCTTTCTCTCTCTCTCTCTCTCTCTCTCTCTCTCTCTCTTCACAGTCGAAAACCTAACTCCGATAGTAGCCATTGTCATCTGCCACAAGCTCTTCAGTCGTTCCTCCACCGTTGAACGACAGTGGCGGCGGCTATGAACAGTTTGATTCCCCTATTGTTCGTCGCCTCCGCTAAGGCTTTAATTCTATCGTCGTTATGACTTTGAGCTCCCTATCGATTTTAACTCTGATGCTCGCGAGACTCCAAAACGTCCTTAAACCTCTCTACCGATACATCATCCGTTCTCTCCCGCTCTTCTTCCTTCCTCTCCCGCTTCACCTTTACCACCATATTTGGCCGTCGCACGTAGCGTCGACGCTTCAGCCTCGTTATTTGAGTTGAAAAGAATAAAAGGAACTCATTCCCTCAAATCTATTGAGGCCGAAAAACGAAGATCTGGGACAACATAGATCTGATGGTCAAGAGGTCATTGTCACTCGCGGTTGACGCTTGTGAGCTCGTCGGGGTGGAAATCGGAGTTAGAAAATTGGTAGAAAGAGTCAACGATGGAGCACGCATTCGATTCCATTTCAGTGAGATCTGAGTTCATCGCCACTAATAGATCTTCCATCATCGTCCCTCTTACTTCGTCCCCAACTACCAAAGCCAAAAAACCTCTTGTAGATTTGAACATATATATCTAATATTTGATCTGTTCAAAAAAAAATTTAATATTTGTTGTTATTAGAATTTAGTTTTATATATAAAGGAAAGAGAGAGAGAAACAATTGTGTATTGATAGATATATATGTTGTTTCTTTAACAATGTTAGAAGCTCCTTATATAGGGGAGGATTACAAATCTGAATAGGAAAGTGGCCGAAAGTAGCCAAACACTAACTTAAAGTAATGTATAATAAAGACAAGTACTAACCTACTAATATCATTACAAGTACTAATATACACTAACAGCCCCCCTCAAACTCAAGGAGGATAAAAATTAATCAACTTGAGTTTGGAGAGAGTAACAAACCAGGAAAACAAACTAAAAAAATAAAATAGGATAGGAGACACTGTATGGTCGTGTCAGATCGTTGTTGAAGACACTGTGTAGTCGTGTCAGACCGTTGGAGAAGATAAGGTCTGGACAGTTTACGAGGTCATGCCGAACCGATGTAGAAGCTAATCCGAATCAATGTCGAGACAGTTTACGGGGTCATGTCGGACCGTTGTAAAAGCTGACTGGAATCATTGTCGGGACAGTTTATGGGGTCATGCCGGACCGATGTAGAAGCTAACCGGAATCAATGTCGGGACAGTTTACGGGGTCATGCCGGACCGATGTAGAAACTGACCGGAATCAATGTCGGGACAGTTTATGGGGTCATGCCGGACCGATGTAGAAGCTAACCGGAATCAATGTCGGGACAGTTTACGGGGTCATGCCGGACCGGTGTAGAAACTGACCGGAATCAATGTCGGGACAGTTTATGGGGTCATGCCGGACCGATGTAAAAGCTGACCGGAATCAATGTCGGGACAGTTTACGGGGTCATGCCGGACCGGTGTAGAAACTGACCGGAATCAATGTCGGGACAGTTTATGGGGTCATGCCGGACCGATGTAGAAGCTGACCGGAATCAATGTCGGGACAGTTTACGGGGAGAGTATGGGTAGGGATTTACCTCCCAATCTTCATTCGTCTGCGAGAAAACCCAAACATTTTGACGCTTCTTCTCCAGCTAAAACCTCTCCAATCCTGCTAAAACAAACTTCATCACAACAACAACAACCCACCATTCACAAGAGTCAAATGACCTCAAACAACAAAGAAATGCAGCCACATTTTCATCAAAAAAAAAGAAGGAAAAAAAAAAAAAAGCCCTAAAACAAACACACTCCCTATCTCTCTCTGTCTATATATAAACACAAATTCATAAGCAAAAAGTGCCAAAAGAAGATACCTGTGAAGGAAAATCCGACAGTAACAGTTAGGGTTTCTTTACACACGCATTTTGCGTTGATAGGTCAAATTAATGGAGAGAGTCAGAGAAAGTGAAAACCCATTGAAGAGGACTCAGAAGCAAGCAAACCCATCAACAAAAAGATTGAAAAGGACAGTGTAGTGAGTAGCCTCTGCCACTGGCTATTGCTGCTGCAAATGAATGCAAATGTGTGTGTTGTCGATTTGGGTTTTTGGATTTTCGGTGATTGACAAAACATAAACACAAACACAAACAACCATATAATGATTTTAATTTATGCATATCGAGTTGGGATTTTCGTAGTAGGGGTGAAAGTGAGCTGTCGTGTTGGCGCATGTTAGCATTTGTTTGTTTTTTGTTTGTTTGTTTGTTTTTTTTTTTTGTAACTCTCTAGGGAGAACGCGAAGGAAGTAGATTCCTGAGATGAATAAAACAAGGTTTGGTGTGCAAAGCTATATGGTATGAATGGAATTTGAAAAAGATTTAAAATAATGTGAAAGAAAAATAAAGAAAGAAATAATAAGAATAGATTTGAAATCAAAACGAAAGAGTGGGGAAATAAGGAAAGTGGTTCACGTGGTTTCGGGGCCCACGGTTTTGTTAAATCCAGGAATGGTGTTTGTGGTGGTTGTGGTTGGGGGTGTTTTTTTTTTTTTTTTTTTTTTTTTTTTTTTGGAATGGAAAAGGGAAGATAAAATAAAATAAATAAAGGTAAAGTGGGGGTAGTGGGAATTATAAGGAGTTTGCAGGAAGAATACAATCATAGGCAATTCGGTGGGTGGGCAAACAATGATGAAAGATAGATGGTTGGAAGTGGAAAGAGTAAACAAATATGAAGATATGATGAGGGGTGGGTGGCACAAGTTGTATTGATATATTTTATGATTGTTTTGCATGGTCTCACCTGAACACCACTCACCCATCTAACCCCAAGAGAGAGAGAGAGACCCGATATGGGTTTGATATATTTTATTATTGTTTTGCATGGTCTCACCTGAACACCACTCACCCATGGTCTCACTTGACAAAAATGATGAAAGCTATGCAAAACCTGAGCTTGAAACAGAAGTGGTGTATTGAGAGAACCACGAGAAAAGACGAGAAAATGGAAATAATAAACACATCAAAACAGTTT